CTGTCTGGCAATGCTTTTGTCCCGGTTTCGGGGATTTTTTCTCTTCAACCCACATTACAAAGACACTGGATGCGGATCCGTGCAGTGCTGCTACCTTTGGGTGTTTCAGTGAACTACATCCACTCTCGGGGTAACGCAGCACAGTCACCACTGCTCTTTTGTGATTCGTCAGACTGAAATATTTGAATGCCAATTGCGTTCGCTGATTCGGTTGCGTGGCGGGGCCTCGCCCGCCACTGGGGAGCGCCTGTACGTTGTTTTCAGCAGTCAACGTGTTAATGCCTAAGTACTCTAATTTGCACAATAAATTATCATGGGCCACACAGTCAAAGGCTTTGCTCAGGTCACACAGTGAGAGGAAGGCCTTTGCTTGGGCCACACTGTGTGACCTGAGCAAGGCCTTTGACTGTGTGGCCCATGATAATCTATTGTGCAAATTAGAGTACTTAGGCATTAAGGGGTCTGCTCTCTCTTTTTTTAAATCATACCTAGAAGATCGCAAACAACGTGTACTTTTAAATGGCTTGTGGTCGGACGAGGCTACTCTCAAGTATGGAGTACCACAAGGCTCTGTTCTGGGACCAATGTTATTCCTAGTAGCCATAAATGACCTGCCAAAAAAAAATACGTAGCTTAACAAAAACCATACTGTATGCTGATGACACTACTTTTGTATCAGTTAGCAATCATTTAGATCTACTTAAACCTTTAGCTGATGGGGCTTTAAACAAGGCATCAGTGTGGTTTCAAGAAAATGGGCTTCTATTAAATAACGATAAAACACAGAATATTATTTTTAGTCTCAGGCCTGTTAACCTTGAACTGCCTAATAATGTAAGTTGTGTTAAGTTTTTAGGCATTTATCTTGATAACTAGTGGCCTGTAGGGGCCATAGCCCCTAATTTAGACTACAATAAAAAAATCATATATAAAAAGACAAATATTCGAAATATGTTTTTTAAATTATAAATTTAATGTTACTTCAAATTAACAGTGTTTCTTGTTTTATATCTTGGGTTTCCTTCCGTTGGAGTCTTATATTAGTTGCTTCTGATGTGTCAATGAAATACGATTGTAAAATAATGATTAAATAAATAACACAACATATTAACAAATGTAAACGTGCGCACGGTGTGGCCTGAGCCCGGAGAACGACGAATCAGAGCTGAAATCATACAGCCAACACATTGCACATCTTTTCTAGTTTTAAATTGAAGATTTGTTTTGTAATCTTAAGAATTCTGTTATAGTTTCCATTTTTAGAACCAAATGTAAAGGTTAAAATTATTATTAATTATTATAAAGGCAACTCCCCATTTCGCGGTAGTAAGTCTGAAATATATCTATGAATTTGTCCCTGAATTTTAAAACAGTAGGCTAAGGCCCATTTCCCGGAATCTCTTGTGTAGCGTAAAGCGACGCAAAAGCCATTGCACTGTTGTATTGCCTTATGTTTTTTATGAAGTTCGAATCATGTAAAAACAGTTCTTTTAGTTCGTCATTGACTTGTGGTTGTGGCATGTCCATTGTGGCAACATGCGTTGAAATGTCCATTTGTGGCCTGCTCTGTGAAGTGAAATGCGCCACAATGCATGCAAGTGCTTTTAGAGGTCCTAGATTGTGAGAAACAACACTCAACTCATTTTCCAGCGTTCTTCTAAAGACAGGTTGTATAACAGCTTCTAGATTTCTTTCACAGTTAGGCCCTACATGGCATTCTCTTTCAGCATTTCTTAAATCTGTTGAATTCCTGGACACTCTTCCACGTCTTGCAGGTCTTCCCCTACCCTGTCTAGTTACTTCACGTATTATAAAAACGGAAAACAAAAAAAATAAACAAATACAATTCATTTTGAAACATTATTTACCAACATTGACTTTTGGAATAAATGTAAACATTGCAAATAAATAAGTAACAGCTGATAGAATGCAGACGTTTTTCAGTCCCCATGCATTTCTTATGGTGGATATTTTACTTTATATCTCGTTTTCTGGTTACATTATGGAAATTCTGCTATTTTTCCCGAGTCCCTGGGGTCAAGACCTTTAATTCAAGACCTCTCCCACTTTTCTGCGACTTACCAGACGTCCACAATTTCCTGGTAAAGATTTGGTCTTACAGAATTATATATATAGATAACCTTCAGTGGGACAATCACATCGATCATATAGCTGCAAGATTGTCCAGAGTGGTACATCTCATTAGACGTCTTAAGTATTTTGTTGACTTTGACTACATAAAAATGGCCTACTTTGCATTTTTCCAAAGTATTTTCCGTTATGGTCTTATCTTCTGGGGAAACAGCTGCAAAATTACAGATATTTTAATCATACAAAAAAAGGTGGTTAGACTAATTGCAAGTTCCACCCAAGACGCTCATAGTAAACCTTTATTCCTCGAGTTAAAAATTCAAACTGTTGTTAATTTGTACATTTTTGATCTTATGTCTTATGCTTTAAAGAATCTATCAACTTCAATTTTTAACAATCAAGTCCATACATATAATACAAGAAGTAATTGTCAGATAAACAGAACATTTAATAGGCTGAGTAAAACATTGAAAAGTCATGTTGTTATGTCCGATAAGGTATTTAATAAATTGAGTAAGACTGTTCAATTTTATCCAGGTAGACATTCTTTATTTTTAAGTAAATTTTATGACTGGCTCTTAAGAAACCCTTTTTTTTCTATTGACGACTTCATGGCCGTAAAGGAAGTTCAGTTTTAGACTCATTGTCAGTGCCTAGGTTAGTTTATATTTTGTTAATATTGGTTAGTTTATATTGTTGTTAATCTTTTATCTTAATTGTCTATCAGCGTTTGTTATACTGTTTTTATCTCTCTTGTCTATTGTTGTTTATATTTTAAATGTCCATCAACATTTGTTGCAATTGTTAATTTTTATAAGCTTTTATCTTAATATCTGTATTTTGTTGTTGGTTCATATAATTTATTCTTTGTTAAATTTTCATATTTATTTACAAAATGTATTTATTGTTAAATCACACTCCATACTGTTGGTAATCCACAGAGCTGACACCAAAAAAATTAACATATTGGACATGTTAGTTGTAATGTCTAGCCTGACTTTAGCCATGCTATATACACATGACAATTAATGCATTTTTGTAATGTCCAATGACAAATAAATATTTCTGATTTCTGATAGGATGATATTTCTGTGGGGTGATGGGATATTATATAACATTGAACAAAATTGGAGAAAATAATACATTAACAAGGAGAAACAGATTAAATAACTGATAACACATTATCAGGGGCATTAACAAATATTATGGGAGAAAATATACAAAATAATAGAGAAATTAATGTTAATCATGAATGAATGACATGTAATATTACATGGCGAAATGACATTGAGCGACAAGAGGTACCTTTTCGCAGACCGTGCAGAGGCTAACAAAATGATTTATTTCGACCTTTAACGTCTTCAATTAAATATTTTACCGATACTGTCCTGTTCTATGATAAATGAGGTATAACAATCGATAAAAACCCAAATTTCGATAGTTTTGACCTTAGGTACCTATATCGGCCGTACTGAAAATTTTGCATCGCCGACAAGAGGTGCCTTTTCGCTTTCCACATCACATTTCCAATTTTGTATAGCTAATACGGTCTCTCATTTATCATACTCTGCTTTTATAAGCCTAAAAGAAAACAATGTGTATGTTGTTATTGTAGCCTTTTTCTAGCCTATGTTGTGAAAAGACGCCTACATCTGTCACTACTCAATTGGCTTAAGTGTTATAAAAAATTGTTAACGGTAGTGCCTCTGAAATTTGGACTAATAAAACTTGGTTCTCTATTCAGGTTTGTACCTTTACTATTGTTTGTAAGTTATCTATTGTATTAATCTAGGCCTAAATTATTAAAATATATAAATAGACAAACAAAATCCCAACAAACTGGCGCCGCCAATGAAGATTTTAAGTTGGCCTACAAATACTTTTAAAAAGTAATAAAAAGTCAAATAAAATCTATAAAATGTTAGGCAATAATTAAATCAATGTGACAAGAGCTTTAGTGCACTCTCTGGCAAGCCTGTTAATCTTCCCACAGTGATTATAAAGTAATACAGTATAAAGGTTTTAGCACTGTTATGCAGAAACAGTTCTAATCCCAAAAACAATTAGGCTATAAGAATCCTGATATATGTATCATAATAGATCACACAGTTAACCACAATATCCTGTTACGATCACAAACATATCTTATCTCTATGTGGTTAGTGGCAAACTAATCTTACTTGGAACTTGTGATATGTCTCTTGTCAAAGCTGTAAATAATATTTTGATTAGATTAAAATAAGGAAAAACATCCAAAGAGAATAAATATTAGGCCCTATGTTACGTTTGATTTATTTAAATTGTGTATAATGTGTAAGTGTGTCTATTAAAAAATACCCTGGTGCAGCAAACCTTTAGACTAAGCCAATTGCTTTACTGAATTTCATAAAAAAAACTGATTTATAAAAAAAATAAAACGTTCAGTTATGTCACCACAGCTAAGTTATTGTCTATGAGTTAGCGTACACAAATAGTCTCAATCTCTCCATTCGTTTATAGTTAGGGTAGGCCCACTATAGGGAACACAAACCATTTTTGTGTTGAAATTTTGTTTTTTACAACTCCAAAAGCCTATATATCATCAAATAAATCATGAGAACTAGGTATTATCCGTAAACACCCAATAAAAAGGAATTTATTTTTTTACCTTTATTATCGAGGACAACTGTAGCATACTAAACAAATCTCAGTAACCAAAATGTTTTGAATATAAAATCAAATACTCAATTTTACTTGAATTTTATTAAATAAACAGTTTTAAATTTTTCTTAATTCATTTTAAGAAAAGGGATAAAAGTAAATGTCCAGAGTATATTTAAAAAAATTGCAATGAAGTTCTCAGTGAGTTCTTTATTCAATTAAGACATAACAAAGAGTGATGATTGTTACACCCTAATATTTGTTTACAGGTAGTAAAGTGCTGGAAAAAAGGCACAAATGAAATTGTTGCCATCAAAATATTGAAAAATCATCCTTCGTATGCTCGTCAGGGACAGATTGAAGTAAGTATTTGTTGTCTCCTTTAATTTTTGAAATAGCCATCTAGAAGTCTTATGAGAGTATTTAATTTTACTTGTAAACAAGTCGTATGTAGACCCTAAACATCAACAAAATGTTAAGCTGAAAATAGCTTTTAATTTATATTTGCTCCCAACCAAAAAGCCAAACCCTTTTAATTTTTCTCTTAGGACAAAATCAAGGATTATTTAATAATCAGTGCCATCTTTCTTCTATAAAAACTTTTGACTTTGAATCATTAGTTGCAACCCTAAAACACAATACATTATGTTGTAGGTAAGCATATTATCTCGACTAAGCCAGGAAAATGCAGACGAGTTCAACTTTGTGCGAGCGTACGAGTGTTTCCAACACAAGAACCACACATGTCTGGTGTTTGAGATGCTGGAACAGAACTTGTATGACTTTCTCAAGCAGAACAAGTTCAGTCCCTTGCCTCTCAAGTACATCAGACCGATCCTACAGCAGGTGCTCACGGCCCTTCTCAAACTCAAGGTTAGTTAGTATACATACATGGCAAAATGCAACTGTCTATGTTTAAGGCAAGTTACATTCTGGTGTTGTTTTGATAAAATAGAATGATTCATGGACGTCTTTTGCGTGTTAGAAACATTTCTCCTACTATACTGTAGTGAACTGAACATAAATGAGGCAAGGACGTCTATTGTCTATTTTTGTTAATTGCACTTGCCAGAAAACGACGTTGACGGTGCAGGGTTTATCATGGTTAACCCATTTTCTAATGGAAACATAGAGTTATCAAGCTATTTGCTCAACAAAACTGAACCAATGATCACACATGTTTTCAAGAAAGAATATTTCAAAATTAAGGTTAGCACTATTATCAGTTAACCACTAAAAACGTGCTTTGTAGATGGCTGAATAACCTCATTACTTGGGAAATGAGTGCCAGATGACATGTCACACTAAACACCGACCAACTGGTCTCATGCGACCCATGTCCGATACAAAGATGATGTCTCGGACCTGCTTTGCAAGTAGTGTCTAAGCTCTGGCGGACACAATGTCTACAAAGCTAGTATGTAACCAGCCTAAGGCAGAGGTTGTTGTCGTTGTACAGTTCTAAAGAGATGCAAAATGTCATTTAGTATTTTTGTCAGTGCAGCGACATATACATCCCTCAAAAACTAAGATTTAACAGTTTACTGGGACTGAAAAAGTGTTCATTTTAGTTTAGATTACAATAGCGGTTCTATTAAAAATTTTCAAAATTAGTCATTAAAAAAGCTACTGTTGTATTAGTGACTTATCAATAAAGCAAATCTACCTGTTTGTCACAGCAACTGGGCCTGATCCACGCAGACTTGAAGCCAGAGAACATCATGTTGGTGGACCCTGTGAGACAGCCGTACAGAGTCAAGGTGATTGACTTTGGCAGTGCGTCTCACGTCAGCAAGGCAGTGTGCAACACCTACCTGCAGAGCAGATACTACCGGGCCCCAGAGATCATTCTTGGTAAGAGGCAGGACATCCAGTTGAAAAAAGAAGTCATCAATATAATGACTTCCTTCTGACCAAAAGTCAGAAATATATTTCGGTTTAGCAAGAATTAATTTTAAAATACCAGCACCAGGCCTAAAAACCTGTGATGTTTCAAATATGGAATGTATGTATTTAAAAAAAACCCTTAACCCTTTGGGTCCCAAGCATTATGTTAATTTTGTATCAGAGGTGACCCAGACCACTAGTTGTGTTGTCACACCAGATGACCCAGTTACTCTATGCACACTTTACCCCAGAATCCCAAGCCATTTTCAGCTGTTTTGTACTATTATCAAATAAATATTCATAACTCACCTTAGAAAGCAGCTAGAGTTATAATTTTTTTTTTATCTTTTAGCTAATAGAATCTACTTTAACAATGATAAGTAAAATTTTAAAAATATATGAATAAATATATATATATATACAATTTATATGTATGAACGGCCTAATATTTTCTCAAATTTTCATTTTGTAACCCATAAAAAGAATATTAGCTGTATTTTTTTTCCTATAAGTTTATTATTTTATTAAATACCACTAAATAAAGAACATATTGTGAAAGTTTTAGCAAAAAATAATAATAAATAAGTATTTTTATTTATAAAAATAAAAAACGTTACTTTTTTGCCGAAATCGACATATAACAAAAAAAACACATAAAGTAATTATAAAACCCAAGTTTATTAAATATTTACCACATACTACAGAAATACTTTTACAATAACATTTCTACATGCATTTATAAGCCTGGATCTATTTACAGTAATTAAAAATAAGTATCATGCAAGAAATAAAAAGGTAAAATGAAGTCTCTCACCTATACCACACTGAGAACACTGAGAAGCTACTGAGAAGAATAGTGAGAAGAATGTGAAAGCAGTTCATTATATGCACATCTTTCTTATTATGTAATGTTTTCTGTTAATCAATTGAAATAAAACATTTAGAAATAACACATTTAGAGCAAAATCTCTTTACATATTTACATTTTTTATGGAACGGCTCATATATTTACATTTGTGTCGAGGAAGACAGTCCACCTATTTCATCTATTTTAGACACTGAGAAGAATGTGAAAGCAGTTCATTTTATTCACATCTTTCTTATGTTATAATGTTTTCTGTTAAAAAATTGAAATAAAATAGAGCCAAAACTATTTACATTTTTTCTGGAACGGCTCATATATTTACATTTGTGTCGAGAAAGATAGTCCACCCATTTCACCTATTTTAGACACTAAGAAGCTACTGAAAAGAATGTGAAAGCAGTTCATTTTATGCACATATCTCTTACAGGTTATAATGTTTTCTGTTAAAAAATTGAAATAAAACGTTAAGCGCTAAAACTATTTACATATTTACATTTTTTCTTGAACGGCTCATCTATTTACATTTGTGTCGAGGAAGACAGTCCAAGTGACATCCACGCCTACAATTAACACAAATTGTTTTTGACCTTCTTCTTTTACCCATGGGGTCATTTTTCCCACTGCACACACAACAATTGCTTTCCTTATTCCCTTCTAGTTTTTCTAATCCAAATTTCCTGTTGGGTGAAAATCCATCGCCGCCCCCTCTATTTTCAGCAACCGGAGCTTTTTCTAAAAACCATTCATTTGCCAACTCCTCAATGATGGATACCTGGAAATGAAGTCTGGAGAGGGGTCTGTCTGTATTCAACTTATACAGGACATATGCATTCAAGACCATTCTACCAAAAATATTAAAAATTACCTTTTTGAAATGCTTCATACACCTACGCTCATCCAGATAGGTGTAGAGCATCTGGTCTGTCCCGTCTATACCTCCCATCCCATGATTATACTCGTAAACTATGTGAGGTTTGCACTTAATTAACATTTTTCCTCCTCTTTTCACTGTGTAACGCACACTCTTTGCTCGGGCATTGGATGATAGTAAAATGAATTGAGTTTTGTTGGTTGCCTTTTCACGGAAGGCCATGAATAAGAAAGGTCCTTTACGAACGTAAACTCTTTTGCCTACAGGGAACTTGCCTAATAGCTTTTTAGGGACTCCTTTTCTATCGGTACGAACTGTGCCAGTCAACCATGTAAAATTTTGATACAAAAATCTAGCTAATTTTTTTGAAGTGAAGAAATTATCAAGGTATAGATGGTATCCTTTGTTTAGGAAATTTCCCATCTCTAACAACTTTTTAACAACCGAGTAGCCCTGCCCTAGACGCTGAATTTCTTCTCTATTGTCTTCATATTTGGCTCCTTTATAACAGTAAAATTTTAAACAGTAGTTGGTCAAAGCATCACAAAGCACCCACAATTTTATCCCCCATCTGTGATGTTTTTTTTTTGGAAGATACTGTGTGAGAGCGACTCGCTTTTTGGTGCCAACTAGTGACTCGTCCACAGACAACTTTTGGTGAGGTATGTAGTAATGATGGAAAAGGCGGTTTGCATGATCTATCAGAGGTTGAAATCGTCCACAGGGGTTGTAATTTGGGGAATCAAGTGGTGCTAGAGCGGTTGAGTCTGTTAGATGGAAAAATTTCAAAATGGCTTGGAATCGATTTCGGCTAAGTACTTTACCAAACCAATCACATTTTTGAGAGGAAGAAGTGTACCAGTAACTTCGTATTGAGGGTTTTCTAATAATGCCCATGTTGAGTACAATAGCTATGAAAGCTTTCATTTCTCCTAGACTAACCTGGACCCAATCTTTCATGCGGTTTCTTACAGCTGGATTATTTCTGAAAAACTGCCCAGCATATCTGTTTGTTTCAGTCACTAAGGTATTTAGTAGATTTACAGTGAAAAAAAGGTTGAAGTACTCAATAGGCTTTGAATTCCTAGGTGGGCAATGTTTAGGGCCGGGCAATGTTTAGGGCCGGGCAATTCTGAGAATCCAAAGTTGTGGTTGTATTCAGGGTCATCGTCGGAGTCAAGTTCCTCCCATTCGCTGCTTTCTGGGCTTTCCGGTTGTTTTTTTGATTTTGATTTGGGATTTGTAGGCCTATTACATCTAGGGTTATTGTTTTGGCTCTTCTTCTGTCTACTGGTAGGCCTATTGCTTAGGGTCCTCGACACAACATGAGACCTCCCTGTAGAAGTGCTTGGCTCATCAATAGGTAGGCCTACAGGATCATCAGGATCTTCACTGTTTGACGTAGAACAGGTTTGGTTTACACTTACATCACATTCAGTCCTAGGCCTATCCTGCATTAGAGGGCTGTCACTGTCACTACCGGTATCAGAAATCAAGTTTCTTCCATTTTGTCTAAAGTTGGATAAAAAACTATATCTGTTAGGGGTAAGTCCATCTTTACCACTAGGGTCGTAGTCGGGATCTTCGTCAGTGTCGTCTACGTCCTCACTTGAAGAAGAAGAAATATCTAATAGTGAATCATCACTCTCATTTCCATCAATAAATGTTACACCGGACTCCAGTATATTTGAAATAAGTGTTCGTTCACTTTCAGGGGAATGTTTTCTTTTTGATTTTTTCTCACTCATTTTGATTGGCTGTAAGTTTTAACTAGGCCTGCTTTTATACTAATTTTTAGATACATACAACTTTATATCGGCATATAAGATGATTATAAGTAACTATACTTCAAAAAAAGTTAAGTTCTCTCATGATAAATGAAGGACAGAGATCTCAAGTTTGGCCTAGGCATACCCTAGTTCAAACGGTAAGATAGGCAGCCTAATTTAGTTTATTCACACTAAAAACAAGTTCATGCACATGCAAATGGAAAAGTGTTAATCAATTAAAAGTAAGGAATAGAGTATTAGTTTGGAGTAATAAGAGCTTTTAAAAAGAAATAAAACAACAGACACAGAGGACAGAGAAGTCAGGTTAGTCCTAGTTCAAACGTTCAAACAAAGCTTCCAATACTCAAGACATAATCAGTGCAAATTGAAAAACTTTCTGTACGTACACAATCTATTTTAGCAACAATAGTTTATATAGAAACTCATTTTACTTCATTTCATAATAAAATTCACTAAACAAACTCACGAATAACAACAAACAACATTTAGTACTTCACAGTGAATGTCAACAACGAACAACGTCGAGTTAATGTTTTGTTTTGATGCGCAACAGCTGTACAGACAGACCGGTCAAGGCCACGCAAATTTCGTCGTTCTTCTTACTCTCAAGCTCTATATAAAGTACGTTTTGAGCGTGTTGTTGAATTTACTTGCTTAGAGAATTTAATTTGCTCTCGTTTGATATATCTTTCAGTGGAATAGCTTTATAAATAATTTTGTAGTAGTAGATTTACGAAAAGCCGATGACATCGGCACTTGGGTTTTTTCGCATACATACATAGTGCCGATGATATCGGCACCCGGGCTTTTTCGATCGTAACGGCAGTGCCGATGTGATCGGCACTCGGGTCTTTTCAGATAAAACTGAAGTGCCGATGTGATCGGCACTTGGGACCCAAAGGGTTAATGTAGCAAACCTGCTGACTAATCGAATTTATTTGCTCACAATCTCAACCACAGAAAAGTAAGATACAGAGGATACATTCAATGGTACACTTAGGTGGTGTCTAGCACCAGTCGCTGGTGTCTAGAGCAAGTTCTATTCATAGTCTCTTTCCGCTCTTCTTTTCTCCCTCACATACTACAGCGCTCATGCTGTAGGAAGACCTTGTGTGTTACTGCTGTACAAAAATGCTATATGGCCATCGGCGTTCAGGCTGTTCCTTGCTCGGAACAAGTACATTTGAAATATATATTAAGTATCAAACAAAAACTTAAAAACTTCAAATAGCATCAATAGCATCGTATGTTAAATTTAGGGGTCTACGGTGCATTTTCGGTACGGTTCCTTAATTACCGCCATTGGTTCGGTACAGCATTTTACTCGGTACAAATTCGGTTAGGTACAGCCTGTTGGTTAGGACCACTTAAAAGGTTTATCAGATGTTTTTTACAACTCATAATGTATTACTAGGGTAATTATGCATTTTATCATGACAATAATTACAATATTGGCTCGTTAAAGTTTTGTCACTTTTATTCCTTTCTTCCTTTATTTATTACTTGCATTACATAATTATTATGAGATCCCAAACCTATTTTATGTGAAAATAATAGTTTTATAATAGCTGGTCAGTGTTTTGATTGTGTCTGGTATAAAACTGTTTACGGTTTCATATTAAACTTGTAATTAATGAACCCAAAGTTAAAACTTTTTTTAGATATTTTATCTTTCAATTAACAAAAGCAAAAGGATGTTGTTGATATGGACCCTTCAAAATAAATTAGGTCTAGGCCTGGGTCTTTTGATTCTTTTGAAGAGCTTTAAAATATAGTAACACAATTGAATTGAGCCCAAGATAATAAAAAAAAACACCCAGTTATTGTGTTAGTTGAAAATAATTTACCAATTGTGTGAAATTATCTTGCCAAATTATTTCTTCAAACATGTTTATTCCTAAAAGTTCTCACCCTAATTTTAAAACCACTTTATCATGGCCATGACTTATCTGAGTAGTAAAATATGTAAAGCCTTTGTCTTAACTATGTGTTTCTTTCTTGACACAATCCTGTTAGGAGTAAAAGGTTTTAATAATGTGTGGTACTGTGATTTTTGTTTGTAAACCACAGTGAATTCCATTCATAGTAATCTCAGTGTATTAAAATGAGGATTTAAATGCAATTTTGAGAAGAAAACGGCAAAAGTAGCCTACTTATAGCCGCAAATCGTACTAATTTTGTACCGAGGAAACAGATTAGTTAAATTGCATATAATTTTAAAGGTGTTGCAATTCCAAGGAACTTTAAAATCTAAACTTTATCTGTAGCTATCTCTGTTAGATTTGGAGTTAGCCTATCAACTTAAAACATGTTTGCCCATAAAATGCTTGTTTATTGTTTATAGTGCCGTTCATATCTCATTGGACCTTGTGACACATAGTTTTTACAGAGAAGGAAGGTACAGAGGAAACTCGCTTATGTGACGACCGTGCGCTTTCAGCTCTAGCATGTTGTGCTGGTAATATACTTGTGATGAGAGAGGAAGAACCCGAGTGGCGAACACTGTGTGAAAATTCCTATTATACAGGTCACAGAGTGTTTCTCCACCCTGAGCGTTGTAGTACATGATGGCAAGGGGGGGGGGGGCAGTGTTGGACTTGACACCAACAAATACTGCTAGACACCACTTGAGTGTACCATTCAGTGTTTCCTCTGTACCTTACTTCTCAATTTAGTTTTTAAGAATTAGCATGGATCTAAAAGCTTAACTAATATTTCATAACCAACATATTGATTGTTGTCCAGGTCTCCCGTTCTGTGAAGCAATTGATATGTGGTCGCTGGGCTGTGTGGTTGCTGAGCTGTTCCTGGGATGGCCTCTGTACCCAGGCAGCTCAGAGTACGACCAGATCAGATACATCAGCCAGACCCAAGGGCTGCCTACAGAGCACATGCTCAACAACGCCAGCAAGACAACCAAGTTCTTCTATCGTGACATGGACAGCACATACCCTTTCTGGAGACTCAAGGTGAACACTGTTCAGATTTGTATTTTTGCGAAAATACAAAATTTAATAATCTTTTGTAATCAATCCCATTGGACAAATTAGGTCACTAAACTTTTCGGGGAAAAATGGAATTATTTATTTATATATAAATACAAATCAATGTTTTCCTGTTGTGTTAAGGCATCCATAAAATTTAAATGCGCCAAAAATGGAAAAATAACTAATTGTTTGTTTGTTTGTTTGCAGACACCAGAAGAACATGAGGCAGAAACAGGCATCAAGTCCAAGGAGGCTCGCAAATACATCTTCAACTGTTTGGACGACATTGGACAAGTGAACGTTCCGACAGACATAGAGGGGGGAGAGTTGCTAGCAGAGAAGGCAGATCGCAGGGAGTTCATTGACCTGCTGAAACGCATGCTCACCATGGACCAGGTGGCAATATTTATACCTATATCTTCCTCAAAAACCCTGAAACTGTATAAATGGACGTTAATGTGATAATTTTTGTGTCTGCCATTATTGCTCTATTATAGATAATCATCACTGGATTCCAAAAAAAAACACAAAAAACTTCATGCCTACTTAGGTTTTTTTTTACGTTCACTTGAGAACAATAGCCCTTATAATTTTAAGCTCACACTCGCTATCAATATTGATTCAAATACTAAGAATCTTATTTTAACACTCTAGAACACAAGGTTATAAACAACGTCATAATCATTAGGCCTAAATGATTTTTAATGACCGTGAAAACTACTTATAACGTTTTGTAACACTTTTAGTGTCCAAACGATTTTTGCCGCCCTCTTTCTAAACTCACTGCCACTTGGTTTTTGCTCATATCATAGAAAAAGGGTGTGATATTACAAAGTAAAAATAACATTCGTTGAACGTAAATAAAAACATAAGCAAAAACTAGGGATGGTTAAGTCTCGAAATTTCGGGAAATTTTCAATCTCGTTACACGAGACGAGATTACTTTTTGGCCGAGATTTTTATCGAGACGAGAATAAAAAAAAAAAAAATAAATAAAAATTAAAAACGCCTGCAGAAAGTCAATGCAATACCCGCAATACAGGAGCGTGTTGTAGTTGCGTTTCCTTTTCGAAGGCGTTCTTATTTAATTAATTCTTTTAATGTAAATATTACTTTAATTCTTTTATATTACTTTTTATATTACTTATATTACTTTCATTATTTTAATAATATTACTTTAATAACATTTGAGAAGTTTTGTTAAGTGTAAGCAGTGTGAGGAATGTTTTATTACTATAAAAAAAGTCAAAACAAGTAACTATTTTATAAAAATTAATATTGCTTTTATTTTATGATTTATTTTATTTTAGGATAAGTTGAACTCTATCCTAACTGATATCACCATGTTTCCTAATCGTAGGCATTTTTAATAAGTTAGGCGTGATTAATAAAAAAATGTTATGCTGATGTTATTTAATGAAAGATTGTAAATATTCTTGCCTATTATCATTATTTTAGTATTTAAACAGTCATCTAACAATGTTACAAAATCAGGTAAAAATTTCGAACGTGCATTTCCCGTTGTGTATGAGAAGAGAAATCTCGTCTCGATCTCGTCTCGAAATTTTATGAGAAATAAAAAATCTCGTCTCGTCTCGTCTCGAACTAAAAATCCAATCTCGTCCATCCCTAGCAAAAACATGGTATTATCTTTATTTGCTAACCAATTGATAGTATGTTTCTCACCCGATTTGACAAAACCAACTGACATTAATGAGTAATTGAAAAATTAATAGCCTACAAATAAAGGCAGAGGATTATAGTCAATGATAATATGCAAACAGTGGCAGTGATGAGTCATGAGTGGGAACCGAAAAGTGTGTAGGATTCTACTGTTGCGCTATTTCATATATTTTCCAAATAGTGTCAATTGCTTGCGCCCCCAACAAAACCAAAAAAACTCTTGCGCCCTTGGGCCAAGGCCCATTTGTAACCAGTTGTGTAACCGAATTCCCAACTCCATTGATCAAAAGGGTGAAGCCCTTGGAAGCGCAAAATCAATGGTGGGATTCCGGCACAATATTGCTGAGGTGGAGGACCAACAATGACAACACAAGAGCTGGCTGGACACAAATATAAATTTATTCATTCAAATATATATATATAAATGCAACAATAATAAATAACAATAATAAATAAGACATTGCCCTAGCCAAGATATAATAATTAAAGCTTTAAAAATATTTTAAAATTTCTTTAATAAAAAAAATACAATTTAATTTGAAAGGGGAAATTCAAGTTAGGCCTAAATGACATTTAGTTGCAAAAACATTTAGTTTACCATCTCAAACAAATTTAAAACAAGTTAGCTTAGGTGGCCACCTTATAAAAATCATTTAAAAACAAATAATTTAATACCTTTAGTCCTAGGCCTACATTAAAATAAATAATTTTTACATTTAAACGAACATGAAACATTTACACATATCAACAAATGTGGTCGCCTCGCAAAGCCTAATAATTATTTCCAAGCGGTTAAAAATAACCGTCAAAGGCAAAAAAGAATTTTACCCTCAATCAAGGGGTGTGAAACAGAAATACAGAAAGGAATTTAAAATTTGAATAAAATATTAAGTAAGTAAATTTAGAGCGGAAAGACTAATTAGTTAAATAGCAGGTAAAAGGATTACAGATTTTGTTATATAAGTTAAATAAAAGCCTATGTTGAGTGAGATTTCTTCGTGATGGGTGAGACTCTCCAAATGGACTGGACTGACCTGACCGTAAAACCTTGCTGGCATCCAGGTGAGTTAGCAGGAAGTAGAAGTAGGCCGAGAACGTGGTGGCCGCTTCCCAGACACTGCAGCACGGTATTAGGCCGGAGTACACATAGGCCTAGCTGCGTAGGTGTCGCCATCAGTGGTTGGTGGTGCACAGTCAGTGGTGCGACGCAGTCCCATCCGCCTGGGAGAAGACTCATCGTGGTGCAGTTGTTAGCATTCTAATGGTGGCAGGTTTCAAGTGGAGTCGCCGACCCTGATACAAAGTATAGATCACTGACCTGGCCTAATTAAGCTAACATGTCTCAGAGTCCATTTATTTAGTTTGCACTAGGTCTGAATACATCAAAAGAGCGTAAAACATTCCCTTTACCTGCAGTCAGCGACCACATTTTTACAACAGCTGTTCTAGTGTCTAGCCTAATCAAACATTGTTTTCTAGAGAATAGTAACATGATCTCACATGAATAAAAGTGCATGAATGTGCTTGCTTACTATTCACAAGTTTAAGAACAAACAAAATGGATATTTAAAAGGTTATTATCTTGGCTAGGCTACTGTAATTGACCAGAGCAAAAATTTAGGCTAGCAAAAGTTACTAGCACAACCAAAATTGGAACTAGCCTAGAAACTTTTAACATGATTGGGTCCAGACCAGCTCACAGTTAAACACCAAAAATTACACAAAATGACTCAAAAAAATTACACAGAAATGACGTTGACACTTTAACTTGGTCTTTTAACCTTAAACATGGAAATTTGCTCAACTTTTAATATCACTTGTACTGACCAAGTTAACTCAACGAGGCATGCACATTGTGTTATCTAGTGGACTCGAAACTCTCAGAAAACAGTACAATAAACATCAAAATGACTCTATAAAACATTTCTGCACAATAGTGAAACAGTAAAAAAATGAAACAAAATGAAATAAGCGAGGACTAGGCCTGGCGAATTCAACTTACCCGTGGTATGAAAACTCTTAGCCAAAGTACGTCATGATGACGGGAAATGAAACGGATCTATGAAGGTAAAAACTTCAGGGTTCACAAAAGAAAACTCTTCCGGAAGAAAACCCCGTAGTTTTGGAACAATCTCAAACCCAAAGTCTGAGAAACGGGAGCCACAAAATGTCAGCCGATGAACGTCCAGCAGACGCGGCCAGTAGTACCAACCACGCAACAAAATAAACAGTGCCGTTGAGCATTGAGCACATACACACGGCACAGTTGTATACTCCATTACTTTCCATTGGTCAAGCCAGACCAACAACTCGCACCACAGCTGACAATTCCCATCAATTAGCTCTTTTTTCAATTGATTTTAATTTCAAATGTGATGGTTTTGGGTTAAATCTAACTGGGTGTGGATAATGATGTTTTACTGCATATGTTATCTGCATATTATACAAAAACGTCTTCTTTACGCTCTGCGACAAAGACATACTGAACTAACATTGTGGTTATGTTTGCAGGAGCGCCGCATCACGCCTGGTGAGGCACTCAATCACGCGTTTGTGACGTTGGCACACCTGGTGGACTACGCTCACTGTAACAACGTGAAGGCGAGTGTGCAGATGATGGAAGTGTGCCGACGCCACAACGCACCCCCAGCCCCACCCCTAGTGGCTACCCTCACATTCAACAACCAGGTACCTCGCCTCCGGGTCTCCACTCACCAACACCACTCTACCACCATTGACAATTTGGTTTGTTTTTGTTTTTTTGTGTTTTTCCACTTGAGAATTTCTTATGGATTAAGATGAGGCTGTGGAGTTTTTCTTTTGAAAGCATGTGCTTTAATTGGGTTTGAGGAGAAGCGGTAGAACCTTGTTAATTTTAACCCATTTAGGCCCAAATTATTTTTTTCCAAAAAACTTATAATTTTTATTTTTTTTTAAATAGTTTAGAGTATAAAAGTAACATCTTAAACAAAATTTTGAGTTTCTAATTTTTTTTATATAAAATAATTAGTGTTCCCAAATGGGAACAGTGGGAGCGAACGGGGTGCCATTTTATATATATATATAAGGATCTTTAGTAAGCATTATAGGATTATTTATGAAATAATTTTACAAGGCAAGATAACATTTTATTTACATACATATGAGGAAATACGATTGTTAGTATTGTTACATACATATTGATACTTAGCCTACTTAGGCTCACAGTGAAAGGTCTCAAAACAATGCTGGTGCAAAGCGACATTACATTTCTTACATTTCAGCCTAGCGTTTTTCTTACACAGTGCACAGCGAGATTGTCTCGCATTGCTGGCTATGAAATGACCAATTCTGTCGAACCGCGTTTCATCCATTACACGTGACTCAACTGGATTTACAAGCCTAGGAGGTCTTCCCAGGGTCAAGCGTTGGCTGTATTTCTGGAGGTATGATTTGCAAATCACTCTAGTAAAGCCTAGGAGGTCAAGCTGCTCACTCTTGTTTTGAACAGCATATCTGTGAAGCTGCCAGGCATTGTTCACTGACACATTCAATGGAAAACATAGCAGTTGCCAGTACCACTTCTTCCCTCTTATGTTGATTCTTAGCTTTGCTATGTTCTCATCTAGGCGATCAACCCCTCCCATGTAGGCATTATATAAAACAAAACATGCTGGCTGATCAACATTTATGTAGGCTTTACTTGATTGGCTAAACCTCTTTGCTTTTCCGATTGGTGAAGATCCAGCTTGCGTTGATGCTATGGTTACTACATTATTGTCGTTGTATCGGATGAGTGTGATATCAGTCTCTTCATTGGTTACCTGCACATGACTTCCACGCGGAAGCTTCTTCATTTCTTTTTTTGAAGGCAATGGAGCACCCAGTGACCTATTTATTCGAAGTGTTCCAGTCCCATGGGTTCCATTTTCTTTCAGTTTTTTCAGTAATGGGATGCTCGTAAAAAAGTTATCAAAAAATATGCTTACTTCTTTATTAGGTAGCTTTTCCACAAGATCCATTACAACAGACCCACCAAGTCCTAGATCTGGTCGTGTGTTTCCAGATTTTTTGCCTTGATATGGGATTGCCTGTATCAGATAACCCAATCGTGTGCACAAACACCAAACTTTGAATCCAAATCTTATGGGTTTACCGTGCATGTGTTGCTTTGCACCGTGTCTACCATAATACGGTATCATAGACTCATCAACACTTAGATTATTGTCTCCTGGGAAAAACTTTAACCATTTCTCATTTATTTTTTCCCATAGTGGTGAAACCTTGGCAAAACGATCTCCTTTTGCCAAGTTATGATTATCACACACGTGAAAATATTTCATGATTTGTATGAAGCGGTTACGAGCCATTGCGTTACTGACTGCTTGGTTATTGCAGTCAGGGCTCTGCTCCCAATACATACGGAGTCTTGGCACTTGACAATAACCACTGAGGAGAAGAATGGCTAAAAAGACTTTAGTTTCTTCAGTGGTGAGCTTTAGATTGTGTTCTCCATTTTGGAAAGCATTAAGGTTTGTGAGGTTCCGGATTAGATCGATGACTTCATCATCATAGAAAAGTTCAAAAAGCTTTACAGGTGAACCATCACTGTTTTTTAGCCAATCCGGGAGCTCAAACTCTCTTTCTTCATATCTTGGAATATCTTTAGTAACCCAGACTAGTGGGGGTTTTGTAGTTTTACTACTTGTTTTACCTCTCCCATTTTTCCCCACTAAAGATTTAGAAGACTTTGATTGTTTTTTTACTTTAGCTTTAGGTGTACTGTCTATATTAGATTTATTTTTCCTTTTCCTCTCCCTTTTTCTAACATCTATAGGCGTTACTACGTCATGGCTATTACTAGGCTGAGGCTCACCTGAGGAAAGGACGATTGCTGTACCACTATTTTCTTCTGCAATAGCACTGTTTTGCTCAAGTTTTTCATCATCTTGTCCTGAATTAACTCGTTCTGGATTATCTTGTTTTGAATCATCCTGTCCTGGATCATCTTGGCCTGGACCATCTTGTCCTAAATCATCTTCTTCTGGATATTCTTGTACTGGATCTTGTAGGTCTTCAACCACTTCCAAGTTCTGGTCCTCAATGATTTCATAAGGCTCGTCCATAACATCCTGTAGTGTTCCTATTTCCACGGTAACAACCTCTCCGTCAATAACCTTCCGAATTGTAGACTCAGCATTCGAAAGTAGCTGGTTTCTAGACAATCTTGAAAAATCAACTTCATCTTCTTCTCCACTATCAGCATCAGAATGTATGCCTTCGTTTGGTATGATGACGATTTCACCATCCAAAACATCAGTTTCATCTTCTAAAATGTCCTGAATTTGGTTCAGAGTAAGGCTGAAACAAAACAGAAATACTAACAACCTTTCTACTGACTTTATCAGCCCCTAATAGGCGCAATAATATAAATATAATGACCAACCTATTCAATCCCATTGTTCCCAAACGGGAACAAAATAATAAATCTAATGACCAACCTACTCGATCCCATTGTTCCCAAAAGGGAACAACAAAGTTTACACATAGATTAGTCACATCTAAGCTATCACAATTATACAAATATGTATTGAATCCATTGGCTTAGTGTATTAACAATATTATTTGTAATAGTAATTAGCAATATCACTAAATAACAAAGATTAACAGCTTACCTTTCATAATAAGTCATGGTGACAAAACATAACCTCAAAATGAACTACTGCTGCTCCAATGCAATGTGCTCAAGAAAAACAACAGGTGTGTTAGAGTAAACAGGGGTACCATACATACAGGACTGCAGTAAAAAATTCCCTCTAAAACATGAAATTTCCCACTTTATGGGGGGAAAAGTGAATGTTCCCAAATGGGAACAGCGGATCTAAACGGGTTAATATAAATTTAGTTAGACGTTGATTAATATGACCACAATGTTATCCGGGTTACAAATTATACTCCCTTTGAGTCCTTAAGATTTCATGTCGAATTCATGTTTAATAAAAAATAGAACACAATTTTCCGTAAAAAATATATTGTTATTACTTTATTGTGGTTGTACAGCATCGTTAAACTCTTTTGCAATTAAAAAAATTGAATTTTGTCAATGATTAATTAGCAAGGTTCTGCTGTATTTTGTTTATACATTTTAAAATATTATAAATAGTAGGCTATTTTTAAATAATGGTCAAAAAGATTTTTATCAATAAAGCCAGGGTTAAGTTTGCTTTTGGCTATCACTTGCATTCTAAAATACTTTGATTCTTTTAAATTAATCTTCATTTAATCATTTTAATCTTTGAAGATTAGTTCTTGCTCAATATTTAATTGCTCAAGGCTTTATTATACATAGGGTTTATGTTTCTTGCTTAATAATGTTAATCCCTATGTCAGGTTTTGTTATTTTAAATTATAATTTTGCAGTGTTATTTAATCTGTAGCTTTATTATTGCATTAGCATCAGAAGATACAGAGCAGATTTTAAAATTATGATTTATTTGTTACAATTTTTGCTTTGTGTCAAATAAAACTTGGTGTTGGATGTTTTGAGATTGTGGGTTTGATGTATATTAACTGAAATTTGAAGTATTTACATTAAGTTTATTGGCACTGTTGGTATCCATTATAGTGAGTTTATACAAGTTGTATTACTTTTCATTTTTAAGCACTCATTTTTCACCAATTCAGCAACAAATATTTTTACCTGTACTATGATTTGCCTTTTTCATCACAAGAAGAGGTATTCAAATCTTAAATTTTAAACTTTTGGTTGCTTTCATGTCCAGGAGGTATAATATAAATTTTACATTCATGCACAGTATTCTGAAATACCTCTTATGACTTGGAGGCATGTAGGATACAATTTAATATTAAATCTTACAATTAAATAAATATACTGGGTTGGAATCTCGGTCTTCTGGTTGGAGCCACGTGAAGTCGTTATTTATACTATGTACAAAACCAAACGTTTCGCCCATGCTGTGATGAGGCATTCTCAGTGGGGTGAGAATGTTCCTTATGATTTCTACGGTTTCTGGTATCTTCTCACCCCTAAGTAAGGAGCTTGCAGATCTGTGTCTCAGATCAACATATTTTTTTTAGGGTGTCTGGCATCCGGGAAAAGCGGGAATTATAAAGGAATATTATGACTGCGGGAATTATACGGAAATTCTATAATTATGGCAGTAATGTGCGGGAATTTTTTAGTATAGATTTTTTATTTCAAGTAATAAATATTTATTGAGAGTTTAACAGAACATGTAAAAATTTTCTCCATTCAGAAAAATTTACTAGCCTAAAAAGCTAAATCAGCATGTTACGAAGACGACAGGCTACAAACGCCATTTTCTCAAAGCCAGGACTAGGAATCGGGCTACTACGTCAGAGCTCGGTTATAGAACGACAACGCGACGCGTGAATGAATACAACTCTTAACTCTATGTTCTTGATGAGGTGTGTCTGTTCTTGTTCTTGATTTAAAAAGATCTGACAGCAGTCATAACATATCTTAAAAAATATTGTTTAATTTGGGCTCTTCAAATATATAAAAATAAAAATACTGTTCCATTTTGAAAATGTTTAGACAGTATCAATGCTAAGTAGGTGTAGTGGTGTAGTTGAGTTGAAGTGTGTTGTAACGGTTTATATTGGGTGTCCAGTATCAGTTGTACAACAGTCGCGGGGTGGCCAGGCAGTACAGTGGCACTAGAGCTGATCCCTTCGCTCAGCATCAGCTGGTGTCATCAATACTGTGCCCTCCAGGATATCAGAGTATGGGCTCTCCTGCCAAACATGTGACTGTGGTCAGTCAGCAACCCCCGCCTCAGCTGCAGATACAACCACCCATTATATCTCAGCAGGTATGTCATCTCTGATACTAAAAAAGGAACTATATTGATATGTTTAGGTTTTCCCGTTACCAATACAGTAATATTCCAGTGAAAAAGTCAGAAGTCTTCTATTAAATTTTTTTTTTTTTCAAGTTGGGTAGCCTCCAGATTACCAAAATCTACAGAGGCTTAAATACCTGTATTATTGATAATCTTATTGTTTGCGATGGCTACGAGTTTCATCTTGCTTTGACGGCGAGAGTTGTCTAGTTGAATATGACGGCTTTCAGAAGAAGGGATGTTCCCATCCTTGTAACGCCTGTAATGGTTCCATATCGAGTTGAAACTAGTTGCAACTGCAATCAATTTGATTACCAATAATACCAAGTATATTGCCTCTAACTTCTTATAGAAACTTTTCTTAACACAAAAATATTTTATGTAGAGGTTAATTATTTACTGTGTTTAATATTTCTGGAAAGATTTTGAAACAAAACATTTTCCTCAAACTAATGTTTTGGTTTTACTGATAATTAAAACTAACTAAACAAATAATATAAAAAAAAAAAAATTATGAGGTATAAATTTGTAATTTCCAGAGCGTGTTTCATGTTATTATATGTATTTTCAAGTAGCTCTGCCATTAAGAGTTTTCAAATCATATTTTTTGCCACAAACATCAGTGTGACTGTCCCTTGTGCCAAAGTGAACTTTTTATATTCAGGTAAGCCTGCCATTGTAACAAAAATCCTTAAAACTTAGGCCCTTGTTCTCTGTGTTACATCATTAGCCTATAAGTTATTGCATAGTTGTTTTGACTAAGATGTTTGTAACCGATTATAGAATTGTAATATTTAAATCGGACCAATTGAGTTTAATATTGGTTTTTTACAGGTGCCACAGCAGTATGTGCCGGTATCCATGGTGGAGAGTGGACGTCAGATGTTGCCAGTGCAGACCTCGTGGCCGACCAACAGACAAATGACCATCGTACCTTCCTGGCCGCAACACACAACCATTCAACAACTAGACACAGACTGGGGCAGACCTCTGCTGGTCGACTCCTCACAACTCATACAGGTAGCCAGTACTGGTACTTACAAAATATGTAGATGGGAGGTCATCAAGACGTCTTAAATCAGTGTGCATTGCTATTGTGGTTAGAATTCAAGCCAGAAGTTAATTGTGTTGTTTGCACTGGAAATTTCAAGTACACATATTATTAAAACTAAGTAAGAGAGTAAAAAGGGAGGGATAAAAAAAGGTGGAAAAGCTACCTTTTAGTGGCAATTTCAAAAACTACTTAGCGTAACTTCTCTGGCGGATTATATAGTATATTCTTCCTGTTCAGTGAATGAATTCAAAACCCAACAATCAGCCAAACTATAACAAATTTGACTCAAACCAATATTTTATACACACTTTTCTAAAACCTCAGGTGTGCAAAATTAGTAAACAGCCACACTGTACAAAACGAACACAATAAAGTGATACTGGAATAACATTCAAGTCACTGGTCAAAGTACTGCTTGTGTCCAAATTTGTGTGTTTCACAGGTAACTGTCCAAACTAAACACATTCTAAAGAGTGCAAATCTATTATGAACATATGATTGAAATAATGTCACACAAACTAAGAAGATTTTAATCAACATTAGTTTCCTCTGTTATTTTATTATCTTAATAAACCATTGGACAATAGCTTTACACTTATTAATTAATTACCCTACTTGATTTGTACTCGTTACACGTTTGAGAAATAACAACTAAAAGTGTTAACTATTTCCCATTTATTGTGCTGCAGTGTGGATTGACGGTAAGTTTGGTTATGGTTGTTTAATGTCATTAAATGTGAGATGTGTGAAGGATAGGCCCTAAACAGGTTCTTCCTTCTGTGCACTAAATCCTTGGTGTTTTTTTTTTATTTTTTTTTATTGTATTGCTCAAATATCAATCCGAACCTGAAGCATTTTACAATTTACTCATCAATATTTGTTCCAGGCATTTCTTAGGTACAAATTGAAGATACATTTAGAAATTAAATATATTTCTTTGTGTTCTAAAATTCAAAACCCTTTTCTTTTATCTATTCTAAAGATAATTTAGTTACAAAAATCTTGTAAAAGTTATATGCTTAATGATAAATTTGTGTTGTTTTGGTGTCAGTTGTGTTGAAGTTGATCTGAGGGCTATATACAAGCACCATGAACACAAGCTTATGAAAGCAATACCATCTGGGTTAGTTTCAAATGAAGGGGTGACTAAATTGCATGGAGTGATCAACGGCCAAATCATCCTGTATGTTTAAGGAGTACATAAAATTACAATAAGTTTGCCACTAGCTGGACAGTCCTAATTTAGAACTAACTAATGCAACACTTATTCCGTAATTTTTCATACAAAGAATCTTAGCAAGTTTTTTTTTGAGGTCCTTGAAAAATCCTGATTGTTTTTATTGGTATGTTCCATATCCATATATAAATCCCAAATTACCCATGAACTTTAGAGAAACCAGAAGTCAAACCGCCATATACTTAAAATTTTTATCATGACGAGAAACCTTGCGCAAAACTATCCATAATTTCCTAAATTGCCCTTTAAGGTCGCAATTACTTTCTAAAGGGAACTTTCCATATACCTAATGTTAAAAATGTAAAGAAAGGCAATGGTGTTTTAAAACTCATACAATACCGTAAAGATCTGCGGCACAGACAGTTTTACATTGGGTCAAACAAACATTTCCTTGGGTCTTCCTCAAATCGTAGTTGAATTGTGACTGTCTTCCTTGGTCATAGAAAAATGTTGAACTTCTTCCGGGGCTGTGGAGGAATTGTAAACGTCTTTTGTGGTCACGGCAAACATCCTCTGCGGTTACGGCCATACCATTGTCTCCCACAGCCGTATCTCAATTTTCGACCATGTATCTTTGTAGAGTCTTTCTGCGATCAAATCTCGGCTCTGCTCAGCCTCGGGCCTGAACGGATCCCTTGAGCCAACTGTGTGAAGGTGTGTGTAGAGTTACAACCGTGGTGATGGTGTTACAGAGACCAGCTGTGTTCGCGACAGAGGTGTACGATGGACTGGTAGAGTCCCCAGGCTACAAGTCTCACCTACACACCACACACCTGGCAGTGCCTCGCAGTCACGACAAGAAGGAGACCACACAGCTCAGTCCGGTCAAGAAGAGGGTCAAAGAGGGAACTCCACCTACAGGTAGGCTACTTCACTGTCCCTCTCTGTAACCATACTACAATCTATTTGTCATTAGCCTACATATTATTTGGTAAAGAAGTTTAACAGCAAGCTTACCTTGCTGAAGAAAATTGTTGGAAAGTACTCTAACACATTATTTTTTCTGCAACATAAGTTAATCAGAGGCAATATGAAATCTGAGTATTGAAATAATTAATATAAATCCTTGTGTAATGTGAACTCTAATATATTTATTGATTTTGTTTGAGTATTCAGCGGTTATCAAATATGTTTGTCTATGTTTTCAGCATCATGCAGTGCTAGGAATAGAGACAGACACAGTCCCACGTGGCAGCAGAGCTCTTCAACACATCACACGCAAACGCAGGTAAAAAACTTTCTAATTCATGTGGCCGATTGAGGAGAGCTCTATTCTAGCAATAGAGATAAGTTAGTTTTCTGACTGGCAAAATTAAGTTAACGGGCTTAAATATTCAAAGAATGTTTTAAATATGATATTTTATAGGCTCCGGAATGCCAATAAATATTAAAATGGCATAGGAGTGTATGAAGCAGTATACATTTTTCATTTTGATACAACAATCCGATTCAAAGAATTTTATATTCAAATTAATACATTTTGATTTTAAGCAGCACGGCATTTTTCCAATCATGTAACTTTTCAATTGAGTGAAGTAACAACAATTAAAACTTACCAGATCGTATTAGTGTTCTGCAATTTTTTGTAGATGTGGTATGTGACCTATTTGTTAAAATACATATTATTCAATCATATATTGCTGGTAACGTCAGTGAATTTCGGCCTATTTCATTTTATATTATTGATTTTATAACTAAAGATATGTTTTGGTGTGACTGACACTGAAACTTTCAATTGGTTCACACTGATAGAATAAGACTATAGAATCAGACCTTCAAACTATAAGACCAACTCTTTATTAACCAAGTTCAGCTAAGTCCACTTGAAACGTAGGCAAGCTTAAAGAGTTGTTTTTTAATTGTTTTGTATAGGAGTTCTTGTCGTATTTAAAGATGACAGGTATCAATTTAGATTTACCTGTAGATTAAAGAGGAGGTATTTCCCAAGTAGTAACTCGTTTCAGTGAGGTAAAGAACAAATATAAAGATGTTTTAAAGATGATAAAGATGTTTCTGCGGATGTTAATGCGACTAATGATGACTTAAATCTAATTATTTAATGTACTTGATGTAAATAACTTATACGGCAACGCAATGTCTCAGTGTATGCCTTATAATCGACCCCTTCTCACATAAATCAAATCGTTGTTCTGACTACCATAGAATCAAATCGGAATTTTGATTCAATACATTGAATCGACATTTTGATTCAATAAATTGAATCGGAATTTCGATTCAATACATCGTATAGGAATTTTGATTCATTTTCAATGCATCGCACACCCCTAAATTGGTGTAAATACCTTCTTGCACAATTCTTACAATTCTAAAAATATGAGTTGGACATTATTTCTAATGTTGACTAAAATTGGCATCACTGAGAATTTCTATGTTGTTGCACTTAAATGTAAATTTCTCATTTGCCTACCCTTTCAAACAGTTCTATACAGTAGAACCCCTCATATCCGGCCTTGGTTTTACCGGTCCTCTGTTTATCCGGCCCCTTCCAGGAAGCCAATATCAAAATTTTTTCTCACAGCTTACAGACGTTTAGATGCAGCCAGTAGTCTTTGTGACTGCTCAAGTCATAAAATAAATTGTTCTCATTATTGATCTGTTTGTTTATACATTTATTTGCTGAGTCACTATACTCAGTTGAGCTAGTAGGCCTAACCTCTGATCAGTTGGTTGATTATTTCCAAAGTGGGGTTAGTACAGTACAATACGAGTACATTAATTTTTGTATTTCACAAAATGGTTAAGAATGTTGAGTAGAAATGCATGTACCATTTAAGTCCTAATGATCTTTAAGTACAATTTATTGTAATTTTTACCTCCATTTAATAGGTTTTGTTACCTGGAATCATAATATTTGTACATTAATTACTTAATGACTTTAACCTACAAATATTTTTTTTCTTTTTACAAACATGTTTATTTTTCTAAAAATGATCCCAGAACAGAATGAAATTATACTTTTGATTGCATATATTGATTGATTACCTATATATTAGGTATGAATTATCATTTTCATAGTAGGTTGGTTTATCCGGCCAAATTGTTATCCGGTCAGGGGCTTGGTCCCGTGGTAGCCGGATATGAGGGGTTCTACTGTAATAGGAAAATCAATGTTAATTCACGCAACCTTTTGTGTGCATTATAGGCTCCAGGCTCTGATTTTCTGAGGTAAGTTAGTTAAACTCCAAAAAAACTTCTATCAACAAAAAAAAAAACTCTTTAAAACATAATGTTCTCAATAATTATTGCGATTCTAATTGTGATTGGCATGTCTCGGTAATGGAGAAGCCACTTCTGAGTGGATAAAGGAAATGGTATATGGCGGATATTTTCTATCTCTGTAGTTTATTCCAAATTAAGTTGGTTTTTGTGTATTGTTAGTTGCAATGTGTTAGTCTTTTTTCAACTGAAGATTTCAGATCCCGAAACACTGTGTTTGTATCTTTCCTCTGTTGATAGAAAATGTCTGCAATAAACCTTTAAGATGTTGTTTTAAATCATTGAAAGTTATTTCTGTTATTCGCGCTGAACTTTTTTCCATTGTTTAATAGGTTTTGATGTGGAATAAGTTGAGTGTAGTATAGAGATAGTGATGGTGGTGATGGTGTGTTTCAGCATTGTAACACTCGCAACCAGACCATCACAATCAGAGACACTCCGTCACCTGCCGTGTCTGTCATCACCATCTCCGACAGTGAGGACGAAACTCCCACCAAGCCCAAGTGAGTCAACACTTAAGTTTGAGTTGAACACTAGTTGTTGAGTCTATGGACGAGATAGCTGCATTGTTGCTGCCTCCCTCCATTCTATACACAAACTGTATTTGTAGTCATTCTTAATACTCAGATTGATAGTCATAAATGCATCACAAAAACTGAAACTGTTTAGTCATTACTGATGACAAAAATGCATCCATCTATTTTAAGTAGAGCTTATCCTGTTCTAAGGCAAGGTCCTCTTTATATTCAAACCAATAAAAGTCTGGCATCCGATGTTCCATCCACTTTTATTAATCTGGCTTTTGGTGTAATGGTGTGAAAAAAATGTTAACACTGTTTTAATCTATATCAGCTTGTTCGGCAGAGTGAGAAATGATCGGCAGACGTTGGGAGCAAATAGCAACACCAGTTATCTTAAGAATTTTATTTAACTACAACTACAGTAGAGTCTCACAAACTTGGCGTAATGTGGTCTGGAAGTGTGCCAAGTTTGTGAAATGCTGTGCTATCGGGAACTAGGGTTAAAAATAAGAACAATCCAATTTTTAAGCTTTTTAACCTCATGTTTTATTTATATTTATTAGGGATGGACGGGTCCCGAAATTTCAGGAAATTTTCGGGAAAAAATTATTCCCGATTTTCGGGACGGGATTACATTTGAATCAGGAATTTTTCGGGACGGGATTTGGTCCGATCGTCGGCGATTTTTTTTTTTCCGCTTCGCGAGTGACGATGACGCCGCTATCGCGAAAGATGTTCACGATAGTTCCGCGAACGCAGGAGGCGAAGTCATTTCGACAATCGCGCCATGACCGCGGAGTCATACAGACGATCCCGCCGATCGACCGTGAGTCATACTACGATCGCGCCGTGACCGCTAGTCATACCGATGATCCCGCCGTGACCGCGGAGTCATACCGACCATCCCGCCGATCGACCGCGAGTCATACTACGATCGCGCCGGGACTGCTAGTCATATCGACGATCGTGTCGTGCCGCGAGTCATTTCAACGATCATGCTGTAACCACAAAGTCATACCGACGATCACGCCGAGACCGCTGCGTCATACCGACAATCGCGCCCTGACCGCTAGTCATACAGACGATCACGCCGTGACCACGGGAGTCATACCGACGATCCCGCTGATCGACCGTGAGTCATACTACGATCGCGCCGTGACTGCTAGTCATATCGACGATCGTGTCGTGACCGCGAGTCATTTCAACGATCATGCTGTAACCACAAAGTCATACCGACGATCAGGGCGAGACCGCTGCGTCATACCGACAATCGCGCCCTGACCGCTAGTCATACAGACGATCACGCCGTGACCACGGGAGTCATACCGACGATCCCGCTGATCGACCGTGAGTCATACTACGATCGCGCCGTGACTGCTAGTCATATCGACGATCGTGTCGTGACCGCGAGTCATTTCAACGATCATGCTGTAACCACAAAGTCATACCGACGATCACGCCGAGACCGCTGCGTCATACCGACAATCGCGCCCTGACCGGGAGTCATTTTGACGATCGAGCCCATCACCGCAAGTCATTTCGACGATCGCGCCGTTACCGCGGAGTCATACCGGCGATCACGCGGAGTCATACCGACGATCGCGCCGTGACCGCGAGTCATACCGACGAGTCATTTTGAAGATCGCACCGTGACCGCGAGTCTTTTTATACCTTTACATTTATAGGCCTACCCATTTTCTTGTTTTTATAGATCAGTACCATAAATGGTAAATATTGATTTTGTTTGTCTTGTTTGGTAACTGCAATACTCAAGACTTTCTTTTTATGCACAGGAAAAAATCCCGCCCCGTCCCGTCCCGAAAATCGGGAAGGAAATAAAAATCCTGTCCTGCCCGAACTAAAAATTCAATCCCGTCCATCCCTAATATTGAGCCAGTATTAAGTCATCAGAAATAGTACAACAATTCCTTGGTATGAGTTGCGAATGATTTGACTTGAGCTGGCTTGAGTCCATGTTTAACTCAGACTCAAAAAATCACTAATTTTCTGAGACGGTGATGGCCGAGTTATCCAGACTGCCGGGTTATAGAGTGCCGAGTTTGCGGGACTCTGCTGTACTAAAATACAGAATAATAGCCTTGACAATCTAAAACTAGCAGTATTCCATCACTGCCCAAGTGCCTTACTGTAGCCTGTTTAACAAACTGATGTGCGGATGGGTGTATTTCAGTATTGCTGCTCTCAACACAACTACCAGCAGCACCAGTAATATTGTAGCAGCAGCAACAACAGCAGTAGATCCGTCTGTAGCAGCTACCAGCAGCCGACACAAGGGACCCATCTATTGTGTCACTGTAGGCGACAGTGATGAGGAGCACAGGAGTCCTACTCAGCCTGCTGTGAGTTACAAAAAATAACAATCAGTCTACCTGTTATAGACCGTTCTGATAACAAGACAGTATTGTCAACTCTAGCAGATATGTAATATTGAGGTGGATGACTGTTAACATCTTGCTGGTATACTTTATGACATATTATATCTAAAAATATTTGTACAGAAAGTTTGTTGCTTGGTGTTAGGAATGGCAAGTATTTTATAGTGAACCTACCTGCTAGTTGGTAAGTACCCTACCTAATGGTCGCTTATGTTTTGGGCAGGTATACAGCAGCAGACCTGTGTCTCCAGGAACTAAGAGTGCTGTAGTGTATTGTCCTCCCAGTCCTGTCACCAAACACTCATCCACTCAGGCCCAAACTCAGGCCTCCTCGTCACACGCCACACAGCTCAAACACGAGATCAAGCATGAGCCCCACCAACACAGGTATGGCATCACCCCCTTAACTTATCTTTTAACCTTTTTAGTTTTTTTGCATTTCCATTTGAATGAATTGCAATTTGGCAAGAAAAATATTTAGTATTATAATACAATTTTAAAAAAATTGTATTAATTAACTAGCCAAACAACATTCTTTGCCAATTTTTTTTTTTTATAACATCAGCGAATCATTTTATGTTAATATCTTCCGTTTTTGTTTTTTTTTTTGCAGCTCAAGCTATTCACAATCACAGAAGAAGAGATTGTTGGCCAAAGTACAGCAGGAATGTAACACAGTGACAAAGCAGGAGCCTGGTAGTGAATTGTATCAGTCTGTGTGTCAGGGAGCTGGCTGCAAGGAGCCTTATCACTATGATCAGCACATTGTGTACAGCAGGTAAACAAACCATTTCATAAAAAACAATGCACTAAGTTCTTTAGTGGAATTTCAGTGACAAGCATCCCTAATTGTTATTATTACTTTTTAGGAGTAACATAGGTAGGCCTATGTATTTTTAGTAGAATATGAATTCAAAATGATTATGGACTGGAGTGAGATCATCTGTGTAACTTGGTTAATAACTAAAATCAGCTTAATAGTATACTCCGTTCACAAAATGTAACTTTCCTCAAAAAGTTGAGCATTAAAATAATTTGCATTTTCTTTGAAGACTTGTGGCCAGATCTTCGATTTGTATACAGCAATGGTCTTAATTATCTCTTACTAATCTTACTTATTTCCTATAATCTATGACAAAACGAGTAAATAAAATAAACTCATAATCCTATAGAATTTTTTTTATATTTAACCGGCTGTTAGTTAAAACTAATTTTATTGCCCTAAAACAAACCTAATCTTATAAAGACTGTTCTAAAAAATAAATTATAACATCGAGTATTTTACTATGTAATTTTAAATAATCTGTCATCCTCCTGCCGAATAAATGAAGGTATGGGAATGACGCCGTGTTATCCAAAAATAGAGTGGTCTTGGCTGTGTTCCGAACCTCTTGCTCTCCTCAAAATGGAGGAAATTGGCTTCACTACTGGTTTTGCTATAGATATATGAGTGACGACTCTATTTTTATTCTCTGCTCTGTGAGAACGTCCATTCTCCCCCAATCAATAATCACAGAGGCCACTTTTCTCATTTTACACTTTACAGTTTAAAAAAGTTAAAAAAAGTAGTCATAATCCCACACACTTTTTTGGATGGGCCAAGGATTGAGCATGTCATCTTCTTACAGTGGAGAGAAGGCGTACACAATGGCAGCCCCCAGTCACAAGCGCGGGGGAGGAGAGGTGGTGGTTAGGGCAGGGTATCACCTGGTACAGCCCCCCACTGCTCATTCTAGCAGGGACCATGTCATCACTACAGCCAAGGCCTGGTCCTCTCAAGCCATCCCCGTACACCAGGGATACAGGTAACACCTGAATTTTATACTTCCAATGCCCGTTTTCAAGAAATTAATTTTTGCCTAGCCCCAACAGCATTGAAACAATAAAGTAACATTAAAACTAAGCTTATTCAGCACAGGAAGAAACAAATCGATCTTTGGAGGTTTTTTTACACTTAATAACTTTTTTTACACCTAATAACATTCTTTAGAGATTGCAGACAATTAGCTTGGATCAGAGATTCCCCAAAAAAACTACATGAAAATTAATAACACACTTTTGACTCTATATTTTGGCAGTGTTCATTATTTTGAACAACAGCTTTTTTTAGACGGGGCTCAGTAACCAGTTTTTTTTTTTTAGCGAATTTCCTTAGGGAAGTAGCTATTACCGTAGGTCTCGATGGTAAGACCTAGGCCCGGGACCGATTTACTTTTTCATTTTGATGTCCCCAGAGGCCAAAAACACCATTCGTTCAAATTTTTATATATCTATATATAGATATATATATATATATATGTGTCCATCCGCACGATAACTTGAGTAATTTTTGTCCGATTTTGATAAAATTTGGTTTGAAGGTGTAAGGCGGGATAAACTCGAACGAGTTCGCGAACCAGCATGATTGGACTATGGGAACGGGGGTTTACGGGGGGTTTTATGGGGTAAAAATAGGTTTTTCCCATTTTTGACCAAAAAAAAATAAAATTTTGCAAAATCTTTTCAAACCATTTTGTAGAGCTTAAAAAAACAAATAATTTAGTATATTGAAGTGTTACTATGCGCCTAATGGTTACGGAGAAAATTCCAAAAAAATGTAAATTTTAAATTCCCATGTTATTCTTATGGAGAATGAGTAAACTGTTGTAGTGTGCTTGTTTATGAACATATTTTGATCAAATTTGGAAAATGTTTTTATTTCTTACTAACTATTAACATTTTACAAAAAAAAGTTTTACCCTCCCTGATGCAGCAAACCTAAGTACCTGTTAAAATAATTCTATTTAAATAGGAAATAAATGTTAAATTTTTAAGTAGACATTTTAGTGTAAATCCAATCAGACATATGGAAATTCGCTTAGTCTGCAGGTTTGCTGCGGCGGGGGTATTTGTTAATTTGGTTCTAACTAAAGCCTGTATGTTGCAGCACTCACCTGTCCCCTCAGCCCCTGAGTGGCAGTCGTTTGTCTCCTCTAGCAGGACAGCCACTGTATCACCAGAGTGAGTTGTACCGTAGACAAGCAGCAGCAGTGTACGTCACTTCTACTCAGCCCACCTACCTGCCTCCCACACACCAGGTGCCTGCCTTCACTACTGGGAGAGCTCTGCCTCCGCCAGCACACCACGCCAGCGCCCGCCCACTGCTAGCCACCCACTCACATCCATTACCTGCCCACATGCAGCCTGCAGCCATGTTCCCTGCCCACCCTCAGGTCGCCAGCTTCGGCTACATCAGCCCTGCCAAGAGTCACCAGTACCATCAGACTCCTCTGTGGTTCACAGAGTAGACCAAGTAAGTGAAATCCATCATCTAGAATGCGGCTGGTTATACAGGGTTGCCACCAGCCATGAAAACCTTGAAAAGCGTGAATTATGCGTGAATTTAGGTGACCATGAAAAAGTGCGTGAATTATGCGTGAATTTCGCCATTGGACCATGAATTCTCAAAATCATTATTAATAATTCAGCCAAAACCCCTAAATGTGCTGAATCAAATACTCCGTATTAAAACCATTCTCGAAATGAACACCGAGATAAAACGTCAAAGTGGGAGTGTCAAGATAAAAAGTTTTGTTGCCATGCCACGAACAGAAACGATTGCGTAGTTTATTCAAGGTCAAATCCGATCGTAACCGACGTCAGCCGAGTAGTCTAGAGATGAGAATTATCGTTGTTTTCCGGCAACGGTTATAACGATAACGCAGCTGCCCAATAACGTGTTGCGGCGTTCAGTTATCGTTGTCGGTTGATCAGTTCAGTTTTCAGTTGTAGTCGGGAGTCGGGCGTGGCCCAGACAGGATGCGTTATTCTCACTGAGCTAAAATTATAACTGGAGGTAGCACTGCCATGGCAGAAGTCTGTCAAAAGCGTGTCGCTAATTTTGTTAGGTTGGTATAGCAGTGAGTTTTTTCATCCAATGACATGGCTTCTATAACTAGGTTTGTATGGCAGTGAGTTTTTTCATCCAATAACATGGCTTCTTTATAACTCACACCTCACGCAAACATGGCGGCTGGCGACACGCATCTTTGACATTCAGTGCTACCATTGACTAATGGTGCTACCTCCAGTTAGAATTATAGCTCAGTGGTTATTCTAGTTCGTTTCAGAAGTTATCGTTGCTCTGGTAGCGTTACGGCAACGGCACTAATGGCAATGCATGTTTTCGTTTTCGTTGTCCGCGCGGCTTTCCTGCAACATTGTGTAGATAGATACGTTATTATAATAACAGGGAGTTCTCCGCAACGTGTTGCCGCGATAACGTTGCCGTGGCCGCAACACTGTTATTCATCCTGTTATGTTATAACGCCCATCTCTACCGAGTACCGATCTACCGATAAAATCGATGCTTTCGGAGCCAAAACATCGATCACATCGATGTTTGTTCCGAGTTTCTCGTCTGTTCTCTGCACTGTAACAGCCAATTAACCTAAAACCAATACAATTCAGTTACGGAAAACATCAATACTGTATTTCATTACTTTTTTTGGCCTAAAAGACCGATGTAACAAACCAAATCATCGGTTCGGTAATCTACCATCGATGTAAACAAACAACTTCGAACATCGATAGAAAAGACATCGATGTTTCGAAAACATCGACAATCGGAATTGATTTGATGCTCGCTCTCACTCATGTCTCATTCTCTACTCTCTACTCTAGTGTTCGTGTGGAAGGAAATACAGAATAACCATAACCTAAAAGTTTTAAACTGATCTGAAACTTGTCAAACGTTTGAAGTAGTGGTGGACACTGGACAGTAAGATCACTTTTTGCACTCGTGATTCCGTTTTGTGCTTCTTATAATTGATTACCCAACACTCAGTGGAACAAGTGTTCAGATTAAATATTTTTTATTACTGATATATCATACTTCCGATACTTTACAACGTTAAAATAAGAAGTACCTTGCCTTGCCATAAAGGTCAAAATGGCTTGCTCCGGCTGGAACTTAATCGTCTTCTGTGTTTGTTTGGTCAAATATGTCGTATTTCAAACTACTGTCAGTGTTGAGTAAATGTGTTTACAACGTGAGTTTAAGTTTATTTATTTAGGCCTAAGTTGCAAGAAGTCAATGTTGTGCTGAAAAATGGTGATTTCGTTCTGAGGCTGGTAAATGTAAATGTTTTGTTAGAAGCATAGGTGTTTTCAGTCAATACGAATCTAACTAATGAGATGTAAATTTAATTAAATAATTGTTTTAACTGTGATTTAAACCTGTGTAGGCAAATGATAATATATAAACTGATCCAATCGGAAGAAACATCCTTCTAAACTAAGTTTATTTTAACCTTTTCTGTAATGTAATTAATTATTTTTTTATTACTTAAAAGTTAGCCTATGTTTAAACTTACATTTAACTAATCCACTAATATTTAACTATTTAACTAAATATTTATTTACATAATATTACCTTTTTAGAGTGTTTTTATCAGTCAGTCGGTAACCTTTAATCTTCTCAATAAATAAAAGTTGGTTCAGGCCTAACTTAGCCTAGATTCAGCTTTGGATTACAATGTAGGCTAGCCTACTGTGTTACAGTAGTAATAGATTGCATGTGCGTTTTAGTAGGCCTAGATATGGCCCATTACTAAGTTAACCGTTTCTTGATCATGTTCTTAACATTTGTTTTTATTATGCCTATTATCTTAATTACCGGTATGCGTTATGCCTATTATCTTAATTTGATGTTTAGACAGTAAAGTTCTAGGCCATTGCTGGATTAACTAAGTTAACCCTTTTATGTTTGGATGCAATGTTTTTTAGGTTAGGCCTATACCTAACTACCAATCCGACTTATTATTTATTTATTATTTCTTCTAACGTTTGAATTTATCATTAGGCCTAAGTTATGATGTTGTTAAATCAGATGTTTCAATTTTTTTTAAGAATTACATTGTAGTATCACACACAAGATTTTTATTAAATATCCTTTTTCATCTGTGATTTTACTTTCTTTAGACTGGATAAATTTTATTAAATTCTTATTTTTCACTCTAAAATAATTGCATGAAATGTGTTTTATTTTATAGTAGCACACAAAACTATATATTGTCGATAAATTAATGTACAATTCTGAACTAGGCAATACTCTTTTATGGTGAAATTGTGCGAGCATATACCCCATGAATTTTTCAAAACTACCAATGAAAACCTTGAATTATGCATGAATTTTTTTATCTCACTTTGGTGGCAACCCTGTTATAACAACTAGAGTGTGCGGTTTTTTTATACACTTTCTTCTGGAATTAGAGTTTTAAGATAAAAACCTGCCCGCTACCAACGTTTGTTGAATTAAATGTTGGTTTTATATAAGAACTAAATAAAATAAGTTATTATAGGTCTGTTTACTAGAGAGATCTCTCCAGTAGGAGCTATACATATTCTTCTTAGGTAACCAGTCTTAACTTTTCTCTCAAAATTTGTTGTCTCATCAAATTCAAATTCAAAAATTCAAATTCAAATATATTTATTTGTGATAATACAAAATCTTGGCCTCGCGAAGTTTACAAAACTTGTCGGCGAGGTCCAGTTGATCCACAAAAATCCTTTATTCTTCTGAATATTGTTATGTTTTTTTCTGTTTCAGTTGAACTGCGATGCAGATGAACAATTATTTTGGACTGGATGAGATTTGTTGCAATCTTTATCTTAATGTTGGACATTGATGATATGTAATTTATCTTATGTTTTTATTAATCGTTTTAATTGAGGAATAACATTGTGATTACGTAACGACTGGGGCGTTAGTTGACTCTGTGGCTATATTTTTTTAACGTAGCTTAGGCGTATAGTGGTGGCTGTTTGGTTACCTGTACATATTGTTCATGTGCCTATGTAGTCCTTGCCCCGAACCATGGCCAGCTTCCGGTCAGAAGCCTAAATTGTGACCATTTCAGTGTTAGTGACCATTACTAGCATTGTTTTTGTGGAGGAGGTGAAAATGATAATATTGTATAGTTTGTTCAGTGATCACAAATTTTGATTTATATTTTTAACATTTTTTTAAAAACAAAGTCAAACTGTTGCATAAAATGTATCTATTTCAAGTTCAAAACTTGTTGAGGAATGCTGGATCATTATTGTTTGTTTTGTTAACTAAACTGGATTTAGTTGGTTCAGATCACTATGTATTTATTGTTTGTTTTATTGGTAGATTTTACCAACTTGTAATAGAGTTTATTACTTGGTAGGTTATAACTTGAGGTTGTAACCAAAAGAAGAATTATTTACACAAAATTTTATTTTTATCTCCAATAATATTTTTTTAACTTTTTTGAAGAAATGTGCATGTAAATCTGTTTAGATAAATTCTCGTTTTTATATTATATGTTTTATTATGTTGTAGTTGCTAAAAGAATGGAATGTTTGATTGAAATGGAAAAATCACTCTAACAAGCTGTAAAGATGTGTCGTAACTTCTCTATGTTAATAACTATTGCTAAGAAGTAATACTTATTTCTTGTGTTGACATAATATTTCTCATGTTTATCTTTGAAGAAAAATGTAGTAAAATATTCTTTTTAAGTTTCATGAAACTTTCACACTCTAAGCTAAATCATTAGAATTACAAACATAAATAGCACTCAGGGATTTTGTATGTAGTTTTAGACTGCAAGAATTATTGTAGATATCTCAATAATGAAACTATTCTTGTGCTTGAAGTGTAATAACTGGCAATTTACAATCCTAGACCATGCAGTAACACTTTCACTACTATATTGCCTCTGCCGTGACTAGGATATGTTAGGACACCAATAAACGAGACTAACACTAAAATGATCACAAAAAGACTGTTCCGAAGTTAGCTACTCCTAGGTTAGTGTTGTAAAATAGCTTAAACATATTGTGATTATATCGTAGACTAAGAATTGTAGGGGTTGGTATTTAATAATTATTGTGATTAACTAATGTATTTTATTCTTAATTATTTAACTACCAAATTTAATTTAGATGTTATTGTAGTTGTGCGATGATTTTACTGTGAGGATTGTTTAGCATGTTTTGTTGTGTATATAGGAGAACATAAGTACAACTGAATGTACACTCGGTCGATGTTAGTGTAGGTTGGGCCTTAGTGGGACGTAGGTTTTAGCCAATCATATTTTTATTGAAGACAGGGATATTCTCCTAATGTTGCACGGTTGTTGCAAGATATATTGCCTTATTATTATACACACTATGTCGTGAGCTCCCGTCTAGTTTTATCGTTCTCTAGCAACCGTGGTTCGGTTTTTGTTCACCAATTGTTCTGGCTTTAAATGTAACAGCTTCGGTTGTTGATATTCTTTTACATTGCATTCCTGATGAAAAGAAACATGTAATAGAAATTATCTTGTTGTTCTTCATGTCAAATTACAGTGTTTGTTGTTGTTAGTGCATTATAAGAATTAATGTATTTTAAACACATCATTTTAAAACATAACGCTTTTGGTGTATCAAAAATATATTTTAAATTATCATATGGTGTACATAAATATAAGTTTTTAAATTATGTTTCATCAAAATAATATTTTAAAGTGTTTATTTTTTTAAATTATTTGTTTGCTTTGGTGAGTTTATGATATTGAGATATGATAAAGATTAAATTTATTTATTTCTCAAAATGCATGATTACCCATAAATTAATGTAAAAAATGTGTGGCTAGAATATTTATTTTGTATGTTTTAAATGTTTAACGTTTACATGTTTGTATAGTTTCAAATAATCAAAAATATATTTTGGACATTTTAATCGTTTTATCCTTGAATATATTTTTAAAATAAAATGTTTATTCAATGTAGAGGATGTTTTGAACGAACTACAACAAAGTATAAGTATTTGAACAATCAGAAAAAATATTAGTCGATGCTGTGTACATGACCCTACTAACCAGACCAATATTTCTTGAAACCTAACAGACCAATCATGTTGTACACTATAGGTGAGTGAATCTATTTGACGATTAATTTAATTTACACTGTCGGAATTAAGTTTCAAGGTGGATTTTTTTTTTTTATTCAAACAATAGAATTGTTTCTAAACACCTCATAATAGATGATAAGTTAACCATATATTTGAAATTATTGGTTATTTGCTACGCATGTCTGTCTTTTTCACATCAGTGAACATTAAGTACATTAGTATACATTCTTACTTACTGCCATGGCCACTTGTACCCATGATGGTACTTGGCCTCGCCAACACGTTCTCACCAGTTCTCTCGGTCCTCCGAATCTTCTTCTACTAGTCTCATTTTTTTTCATATATTTCCGGACTTGATCATATACATATGGTCTTAAATTGTACATAAGATGAATAAGTGTGATACTGTCCAAATATCTGAGTTGAAAGGAGCAAAACATTTTGACCGTTTTTCATAAACTTTATCTTCAACTATCAACATTTTTATCGTCTAAATTCCTATGTTAAGGAGCGAACGATGGGTGAGCTCATCCATGTAAATATTTGTTTGTGTAAAGATGCATTTTATGAACATGCATCAAAATGCAATTTGTAGGTTGTAGGTAGTCTCTCTTATATCTTAACTGTTAGGCTGTGAATAACTTTTCAAAAATTCTATTTTTGTTCATGCTAATTTTTGCACCGGCTTTTGTAACAGTTGTTAGTATCTTTTTTACCTGGGGGCGAATATATATCAGCAAGCCCTCTTTTTTTAAGAAACACTCAAGACGGAAGTAATTCATATTAATTGTGGCTATAAAATAAAACTTATATGTTGTGTAATTAAATTGAATTGTTATTGATAATTTCAAATGCTACATTTACGTACAAGTCAGGGGTTTATAAATTAGTTACACATGTATTTTATTATCATTGATTAGTAGTAAAGAGTTTTAACAAGTAGTTGTGTCGATTACTCGATTTAATGAATTACATGTAACATTTAGAAGTTTTTGAGAGAAAGCTAGTTAACCACGATTACTTTGATACTTGCAAGAAATATTGGTCACTCATATTTATAGAGGTGTTTTCAAGCAAAATTTTACCAATGATAAGCACTTACTGTTCCTGCCAGTTTTGTACTAGACAATTAGAATAGCCTGTTAAACGTCAGTTATTCTTGCAAATTTTTACTCTTTATCTCTAATCAATGTACTGTAACAAATTATCATAAGGTGAACTGTTTGCTATAGAATCATTGTGATGTCTAAGTCTGTGGACAATATTGTTTAAATATATAGCTCAATATCTCGAGGATGTACGATATTGTCTTGAGTGTCTAATTAGCTTTAAATAGAGGAATATATATTTAATATCGACCGAATTATCGTAATACCACACACTCTTTAGGTGTTAGATGTATCGTAATAAAATATTATCTAGGGAAATTGTCTTTGTTCGATTAAGCTTCTTTTTATTATTTTTCTGCATAATCGAGGTAAAGGATTGATATATTTTTGGGTCTGATATTTTTGACATTATATTATATTAAGGAATAAGTAGAACGCTGTCACTGTAGGATTTTATAGAAATTATTTAGCTTTAAAGTACAACTTGTTTAATACGTCAGATCGTTTCATTATGTATATTTTCACCCAAATACGTAGTCATTTGCTTTATTGTTTGTTAGTTGGTTTTACGTAATAGACATAATGCATAGCCTTACTGGTACGAACGCATTTGTGTGGTATTGTAGGTATAATTATTTCTGTAAGTATGCATTTTATCCTATAATCCAATGTTCGGAGGAGGTTACAGTAGCAGTGCTATGGAATTGAGTTTCGTTCTGTTTTACTCCTCTTAATAGAGATGTGGTGGTGGAAAAATGTCCATTCTTAACAATTAATTAAAAACATGTAAACAAAATTTTAATAGAAACTAATATAAGTCATATTGTTCACATAGTATAACAGTTAGTAATCCTCTGATGGTAGTTCGGAGTGTATTTGCAATTTTAAATGCTGTTTATTAGTATTTTATACTCATTCGTCTTCAACTTCCTATATAAGAGATTTCTTCAAAGTCTGTGGTTCACTTATAAATCCGATAATTGCATTTATTTTAACACATTGCCATACAAAACTACTTGCATTTTCAAAGTTTTCCCCTAGCACATTTCTATTATTGTTTATTATGATGTTACACGTTATTATTTGTATTCTATGTTTGGGTAGTTTTGTTAGTAGTGTCTGTAGATTATTAATTTTTGGTGGATGCAGTGGTATTGTTAATGGGATGGCTTGTGGCCTAAAATGAATTATTGTACTTACCGATTCATAAGTTCTACACCCAAACAGTTAGAAATAACTAACATTTCAAATTTTTTATGAAAATCTTGAGTTGTGTGAATAGACCCATAGTATGATTTTATGTGTTTAATGTTTGTTAAATATTACCTGTACTATTCTCCTTCAAAATTCATTCTAAACTGTCGTAGTGTTCTATAATTCTATTAATCTGTAATCCAGATGCATGCTGAATGTGATTTGTTAACACATGTTGTAATTATGATTTTCGCTTGTCCAAATTAGTTGAATCATTTTCAGGGTGATATCTGTGTACAACTGGCCTAAATCCTGCTATGTTGAGATTATGCCTGAGATAAGGAGTCACGTATATTCATTAAATAACTCATAGAAATATATTAGAGGATCATTATAAAGGTTGAATATTTATTGCAAATACTATATATTAGGTTTAGATTTGTTTAGGTTTATGGTTTTTAGTGATTGTAAGCTGTATCTATCACATTTACAATGTCATTGCATGGCTCAGACTTGATACAAGCGTGATGTTCGTTATGTTACGACTAACCCAGGCTAGAGGTCAGGAAACTAGTGGGCTGGATATCCTTGCCGATGTGCAAACACAACTTGGTCATAGAGCCCATATGCTCCCACTTGATGATGTTTTTCCAACAAAAGATTAACGTTACCAAAGTAAAAAAAAATAGTAACGGGACCAGAGTTTGGACCGATCCTTTCCAAGAAACGTAAAAATAATAATATTGATTTTCTATAGCTGTTTGTGCTTCCTAAATTTTTTCATTACAAATGTGGATTCTGTAGATTTTAACTACATATTTTTTATTTGTAAACTGTACTCAAATTTAAAATTAAACAAAAAACAGTAGACTTAAAGATAATTTACATATTTACGATAAGTAAAATGTTGAACCAATAACATGTTTAACCTACAACAGGTTTGAACTTGTTTCCAGTCCACTATTTTCCCCGCCCCAATCTCCTACTAGTGTCCACTAACCTGTACATATTTTTGTTTGTGAGGACTTTATTATTGTAAGTGACACATATCAGGTCTATTGTTTGTAGGTTATACGCTTCAACTAATGTATTCATTCATTTTATGTTGAACTGCTTCTGTGTTACTACTAAATAAATACAAAAAATTTGCATTTTGTCAACCCATGCATTTGTTTGATTACCTTTATTCTTATCTTTAAAGAAATTTAAATCTAAAAATTAATACTGTTAGTCTGTTTTAAAAGTGTAATTTTAAATTCTTTCATGCGGCGAATAGACAAATTTTGACTATTTTAATTGCCCTGATGGTTCTTGTAACTAGGTTCACAGTTATTTGTCTTTGGCTGTGTTCATGTCAGAGCTGTGATTAGCGATACTAGCTGCGATCCCAACAATGCATAGATTATACGACATGCTTTCTTGATGGGCCCGTTTACGTCGGAGCTGAGTTGTTAATCACTCTTGGGGCCCGACCATCGATGAGAGCTCAGCGATAATAGCTTAGTCCTTTTCCTCAGCTAGTATCGAGGTTCCTAACATGTGTGAGATGTAGACAATTTAATATCGGAAGTTATTATGGGACAAGTGTGATAAAAATAGATTTATATACAGTTATGGAGTGAAATCGCTTATGAATTTACAATTTAATATAAATAGTGTTAGGATGTACATAATATTCCTAATATTTTACATCCTTATATGTCCCTTTACTGTATGTGATGCTAAAATGAACTATTCCTGAAAATCATTACAAGCTCATTTTCAACTAAACACACAAACTCACAAATCAACCTTGCAGTGTGAGTATCGCGGCTCAGACATGTCATCGTTGCTATGATCGTTTATCACAGCTCCAGCATGAACCTGCGATTGTAAAAAACCTTTGCTCACTTATAAAATTGTTATTGATGTTCATTGTCAATTATTAAACTAACTTGGTCCATTCCTTGGCTGTATTACTGTTGGATCTTTTGACTCCATTAGGTTTTGGGTGACTCGGTATGATAATTTTATCAATTGAAATTTTAATCTAATACATTAGGGACTTGGAGATTATGAAGAAGAATTTACATCTGGTCCAATAGTTACTCAGCTCCTAAACCACTTGGTTAAGAGAAATGAGAATTGCTATCAAAGATTCTTATAAAAGAGGTTGGCTGCCTCTTACAACCTTGCATTTGCTAGACCACATAGTCCTCGGGCCTTATTTATTTGTATCATTAGAGCAAGGGATGAGCCAGCACGATTACTAGAGTGGACCACCAGGATGCAAACCCATCGCCATATTACTGCCTTGGATTTGTTGTCAATCAATCCTTCTACTGACTCGCCTAATTAAATTTGTTGCAAGGTTATACTTAATTATTTAAATATTAAAAATCTGTTTTTATCTTGATCAATTCTCTATGGTTAACTAATTAATGGGTTCGCTCAATAAACAACCAGGTAATGCAATTATATGTTTTGAAGTTATTTTTTGTAATTGTGAGAAAAATGTTGTCTACTGTAATAAGAGTGTGAACTACATCATTGCCGCTACGGATTAGCCGCACGAAGCTTTTAACTGAGTGTAACCATACATTTTGAGTGTGGTAATGAATGACTGCTTGTAATACACACAAGATTTTTCTATCGCCATAATTAACTTATAATACACAAATTAACTGTTTGGTTGTATATAAAATATCATTTAGATTATGTTATTTCTGTGGTTGGTATAGAAAAGACAACTGTGATATCAGCATTCCCGCTCTGGCAATGCGCTATTTTGTGTATTTTGTGCGCTATTTTGTATAATGTGTATTTTGTGCGCTATTTCGGGTATGGCAATGTGATCATTTTTCGTTTTTTTAACGGTAATAGGGGTTGGCTTTCAAGAAAAATATGTAATACAAGTTTTCTGTTAGTTTATTTTTGCTTACTGTGATATTTACACAATGAGCTGCAGGTAAAAATTCCCGACAAAAGTTCAATAGTTAGGGTACAACATAGGCCCATTTATTTTATGTACCTATGTGAAATCATTATAACTTGTTTTTTTGTTGTAGTAACCAATGTTGTGCAATACTTTTTTACCTATCAACCTATTAAGCAAGTTTTTTTTCAACTAAGTAGGCCTAAACTTGTAATTAAGCTATCATTTGAAAGTTAAATCGTAAATTACAGTATTTTCATACACGCATAAGTGCCTCATATAATTTTTAAGGTAGCCTAGCCTTATAAGTTAGTCTATCTTTAAAGGATAAGAATATCTCTTTCAAACTAAAGAGGACCAATGAAATTTTGTTCCTGAAACGAAACCAAAGGCGGATGTGTAATTTTTACATAACATATTTGAGCATAAATTTTTTCTCTCCAGAGTGTCCTCTCCGTCGCAAAGCACGGATACAGCAGCTAGTTTATAATGAACTTTAAAGCATTTTGCCAGCGTTTCAACTACACAAGTTGGTTCTATGATATTCAATAGCATTACAAGTGGGAACTGACAAAATAGAATTACAGTAATGCTTATTATGTTTTTGATTTACAAATAATTTGTGATATTGTGCAAATATTTGGTTAGTGCATGTATTTTTTTACTTCCCCCCCTACATATAGTATATGGAGAAAGTATGTTTTCGCCAAGTTCTTCGAGTAAGTTTTGAGTGAGTATATCTTTTTGGGTCCCCCTGAACCCCAAAAAGTGGTTTTCAAAGAGGATGTCTGTGTGTATGTGTTTGTCTGGATACTCAGAGCAGAGCTACAAACCACACCTGTAGTCCGATTTTGATGAAATCTGGCATGTACTAATCCATGGTATATCCAGGAATTTTTTTAATTTTATTGAAATTTTGATTTTTTATGTTGATTTTTCCATAAAACCCATAAAATAACGGGAAATCGGATTTTTTTCAATGGATAGCACAATTTTTGCTATATATAGCAGGATAGGATCTACTACATCAATGTTATGTAGCACTTTCGAAAAAGTTACTTTTTCTACTTTTAGCAAATGTTGTAGGCTATAACATTTGCTAGATGTTAGGCCTACACAAATATGCTACCGTATATGGCAGATTTTGCTGTCTTAACTTACGAAGGACGGGTACTGTACTCTGCTAGTAAGTAGTAGTCTAATAAATGGATGAGGAAATCGGGTCTTGAGAATAATATAATTATGTATTCTATAATAGCCCCGTGGGCTGAGACTCGTGAGAAAATAACATTTAGCCTTTAGCCTCGATCTGTGTCATCATCGCACAATCACCCCTTCCTCAAACTGTCATGGCGGACTAATATTTTGAAGCCCTGTGCGAGAGTATCAGGACATCGACCGCTTTGGCGCGTCAGCTACATTTGACGGGACTGGGCAACGGAGAGAGGCCAATACCAAGAGCTGCTGATTCGCCTTTCATTGGTGATACAATTTCCGACCAATCATTGGGAATAGTGCAGTCTAAAATATCCAATGTAAGTCCACAAATTATAAAACATCCGTTAGGCTCATTATTTTGTTATTCACTTGATAACTTTGATTGTAAATCAGCCAGAATTTTAAAATTTTATTTTCACTTGAGATTTTTACCTTGCAGTTGGGAATGAGATTGTAGGGAGCCATTTTGTGTCGTGTCAAAACTTAGGTGCAATATTTTTATTAGGAATAGGATGTTTCTTCTGCGTTTAGTAATTAGGTAGGCATTAATTTTTGTAACCTTCAAAATTCTCCGACATAATTTTGTTAGCTTCGTTATGAACGGAGAACTAAAACTAAACAAAATAGCTTAGGCCTAGGCTAGAAGTCAAGACCACCCTAGCAACAATTCAAGGTCTTACAATATTGAGGCCTAAACTTATGTATAACTTGTACCAGGGACATCCTACAACGATACAATTATTTAAGGGTTTATTTACCGCTGACTTGGAAGAGAATACGTAAATCATACCTACTAAATATGACACAAGGCTTTGTTTCAAAATGTCATTCAAGTTAACCTAGGCTAGGCCCTATCTGATCTGAGGATCAGGCCTAGGCTTAGATCAAAACAGGACTGGTCCAAGTTAGACCTAGTTTGATTTTGATTCAAGAATCAAGAATAATTTATTCCAAGGCTAGGCCAAAGGATTAGGCCAAGGCTAAATTATGATTTGGGCTCTCTCAAACTATTAGGTTAGTAACTTAGGCCTAGGGCTCATTTCAATTTTTAAATTTCCACCAATCTATACGTAAACTAGGTAAAGGCCTGTTTTGCAAGAAGCAGCTGATGCGTCTGGTGGTTAGCAATGACCGCTAGATCAATAAAATAAGTTAATTGCTCAGCGACCGCTAGATCAATAAAATAAGTTAGGCTAATTGCTCAGCGTCTATCGCCCGGGGCTATTTTGCCAGAAGTGCCTATTCCTTGGGATTATTTGACCAGTGAGTGGGTTTCTTCGGTTGCGAAAGGAGTGCTGTTTGTGATATCTTAAGTTATGAGCTGTAAAAAGCAAATAAATTAGTACCTAAAGTTTTGATAGCTAAGGAATTGAAAGAGGGATAAGTTATTATAAATTATTAATAGAAAATCATCTCCGTTCTAGAAAAGCAGGTTTTCTTAAATTTCTTGGATCAGTTTATCATATTAAGTTAAGTTATTTGTGATAAAGTTAAATCCCCACTTTGAATGTGGCATGTCAGTGTGAAATTAAAAACTGGGTTAAAAATACAAGTTTTAATTTAACAGTGGTACTTTGGTATTATCCAGAGGCCATCCTTAAATAGCGCGCTGCGGCGGTCATTTCAGGTTGGGTTAAGTTATCATAAATGGAAAGAACATAAGCTACCTACTTTAATTGACCTACTGTCCAAATTTGACATAAATTACAATTAGCGGCCGTTGAGTTCTGCCTCCCAGAAGGTAGCGATGTCGGCGAGGATTGAGTTGAATGCGTCGCCCCCGCTAGCTGCCGCACCAGATAAAGGCGGTGAAAGGTGATGCGCGCACGCTCCGGTAAACGACCTCACCTTGGCCTACTTGGAGGGGATTTGGCTGGTGAAAGTATGACTCATCTGGTATTGTTTGATTCTTACTTAAGTTAATGAAATAAAGAAAGTCCTACAAACATATTTATGATAACCCAACCCAACATAACTACTGCAATAAGCTTTATAAGGGTGGCCTCCGGATAATATACCAAAGTACCATAACAGTCAACAACAAAACATGTGTTTCATCTTCTATAGGATGCTAGCGACTGTGTCTCCATCTGCTCCATGAGCAGTGGTCCCGGGTCCGCGATAGATGCTAGCAGCGGCTTAGTTACAGACACTGGTGGCCATACGGTGCGATAAGACGCTTCTGACAATATAGATTAACCTGTAACAATGCAAAGCAGTGGGCAGCAATTGACGCGGAGTGATCATTGCTACCTAATTTATTTCTATAACCCAGGTGCTAGACCTACATCTATTGCTGCAAGCTACATTTGTTACATAGAAGCTATCTTCTCACATTTAAGCTCGAGCTTAGACTGCTTGATTGCTTCATGCAAATGAATCGCCCACACCCTGCCTTACCTTAGGACCAAAAGCCCTCTTTCAAATTTGTAACGTATCATGATAACCTACGTGTCAAATGAACAAGTTTCTGTGAATTTTACACCAAATTGTTATAATAGGCCCTACGTCATGAACTTTTTCATTGTAAAGTGCTATAAAAGATGGTCTTTTACAGCAGTGATTCAGTGGACGAAGTAGTGCGATGGAGCAGCAAATATCAACTGCTGATGGTCAGCAGATGACAGTCATGCAGACAGTTCCTGCTTCAGCCGGTCAACAAGTCCAGGTGTGTAAATTATTTTATGTTATTTATTTTTAAAGGCTAAAGTTTGTACTTAAGTATGACTGCAGTACTGCACATAAAATAATTTAAATTAAGTAGGCTATATAGGTAAATTTTATGTATTTTGTTAAAGCCAAAGTTTGTATACAGTAACTTAGGCCTAATAGTATCTCTGATCGATTTTGAAGCATGTAAAGTTTGTAGCGAGTCAAATTCAAATGATCAAGAACGTGCGCCGAAACAAGGAAACAACAACGACCAATCACGTGAACGCGCAGTGATATTTAACTTGCAACGGTCACCGCACTTGGGGACCAGACGTCTGTCGTTGATGATCGGAAATTTGTAATTCTCAAATCAATTCGTCAAAATTCACTTTCGGAAGATCATTACGTGTGTTTCGGAAACAAAAACAATTGTTTGATTCCCGGAGTGTTTAGAAATCGAATCGCGAAGCAACGAGAGCAAAAATTAACTAATTGAATTATCATATTTGAGTCTGACTGTCCGGCATTGATCGAGAAACGTTTTGTCAAAATTGACCGTTTCGCGTAGTCTTACCCCAAGTGAAGCCTATTAGTAAAAATATGTTTTAGTGTCGTCTGTTTGTCTTCTATGTATGTATAAGTAAATGTACTGTGTAATTTATGTCAAGTGTGTTTAGTTGAGCCAATCTGTCCAAATTGAATGATTAATCATGTTTCTTACAGCATTCATGTTATAGTATGTTAGCCTAATCACATGTTTCGAAATTAGTGTCAATTATTTTTAATAGTTAAAGCATTTATAGGTCTTACATATGATAAATATTTGAAAGAGAGATTTATGTCAATTCTATTTTTATATTGAGATTTTTATATCAAACTTCATTTTTAATATTTTCAATCAAGGTTATATCATCGTCACAAATTTCATTCTTTTGTAAACTATATTTTAATCTAAATCACTTCCTGAGTACATTAAATAAATCTGAGAGTATTTGATTGTGCAGAGTAAATTCAATCATCAAATCAGAGCACAGGGACGGATTTCCCACTAGGCACACTAGGCCAGTGCCTAAGGGCGGCAGGCCCCCGACCGGTGCCGTCCCTAACGTTTTCCCCGCTGCTTACGAGTGCCGCCACTTACAAGTGCCACCCCTTACGTTTTCCCGCTGCTTACGAGTGTCACTGCTTACGAGTGCCACCCCTTACGTTTTTCCCGCCGCTTACGAGTGCCGCCCCTTAGTTTTCCCCGCCGATTACGAGTGCCACCACTTACAAGTGCCACCTCTTACGTTTTCCCACCGCTTATGAGTGCCGCCGTTTACGTCTGCCACCTCTTACGAGTGCCGCCGCTTACGAGTACCGCCACTTACAAGTGCCACCCCTTACGTTTTCCCGCCGCCTACGAGTGTGCTGCTTACGGCTGCCGCCGCTGCCATAGTCCGCCGACATTAGGCGCGACCGCGACGGCACGGTGGTGACGGAAAACAACAGTCAAAGGGCAATGATGAGATAGATGAGTTAACAATGGTTAAAAGTAGGAGGAAACCATTGTAAGGACTTAACAAAGATATTTATGTGAAAATATATAAATTCAAAGTCGTTATTTCTTATATTCAACTCAAGTACTGTATTTCAATATTACGTATTTTAATGTTTGTGGGATGGTAGACCTTTTCAACTGTAATTAAAATTAAAAAAAATAACTTGCAGTGTTCTTTTATAAGCACTCAAGATGGGTTGGACCACAGAAAACGTACTACTATAACCCAGAATGCCAACCGCATGGTAAAAAGCATTAAGCGTTTTGAGAGAGGTTTGCCTGTCAATCCGTAGGCAGCGCCACCAGCGTTGCCATGCAATAGCATAGCAACGATGGTGGCGCTGCCTACGGATTGACAGGCAAAGCTCTCTCAAAACACTTAATGCTTTTTACCATGCGGTTGGCATTCTGGGTTATATTAGTACGTTTTCTGTGGTTGGACTTAGTTTATATTTAAAAAATAATTACTTTTCACCACACAATGTTTTAGCCGTTTTACAAAACATTAATTGGAGGCTGGAAGCTATGTAATTGCTGTCCAGGACCGAAATGGCAGCTGTCATCTTCACTGGGGACTGATTTGGTTTTTACGGCCATAGGGTCACAAAACCAGTTATTCGCTTACTTACTTAAAACAATGTATACAAAATAAAATATTCAAGCAATATCCATATGAATTTTATGTCATCGCTGCCTGGCAACTATTTATTAGTATATTTTTGCTGGTTTCTCTAAATTATTTCTTCACATACGGTAACCTTAAAGTTGTAGTTGTGTAAACTGTTAATGTGCATTTATAGTGTGAAAATTACAACTGGCCATCCATTTTTGTATAGTGTGGTGAAAAATGGCGTTCGTACCACGGGTCGAAAGGGTTTTGCAGCTCTTGACTTGGTCCCGAATTTAAAAAACTACGAGCCGGCAAAACCTCATTTTCGGGCCTAGGTACGAGGGGGGTGGCACTAAGGATAGTGCCTAGGGGGGAAATATGTATAAATCCGTCCCTGTCAGAGCATAGTCTCGGTAGAAGGATAGGGTTGCAATAAAGGCTATGAGGATAGGCTTCCATTAAAGTCGTAAACATTCATTTTAATAAAACAAATCAAATAATCGACTCAGTAGTCGATTTGGCCCAGTTTTTGCAATTGAGCACTAAGGTGTGAGTCATTCACAGATCCACGAATAGCCCCTTTTGTATCATTCAATTAGCTGGCCAATTGTAAATAAACTATCACTTGGGAAGCCTGGTAGCCTAAAAATACATTAAATAAAATAAACCTAGTTTCCCGAGGCTCTGCACCCTCAACGTCACAAAAGAATAAGTGTCACAATCAATTCTCTCTTTTGATAATATTTGGAAGTTTTCATTGGGAATATATATACGCACCTTTGTATTGTTAATGAAAGAGTATGAATATTTGAAGTTATTTAATATACAACATTGTTATTCATTGATTCTATTGATTTCCCTGTGTTCATCATTTATCAAGGTAATCGGCATAACCGAATGATTGCATTAGAGTGTAAAATATTGGTATTGATCTTTTGAAACAACCATTATAGTGATTTCTACAACTAGGTTTTAAACAGTGTATAAAAAATTGGTATTTACAGCTATTATATTACAGAATCAATACATAAATTGCAGCATTTCAGTAAAGTCAACATTTTATTTTCAGGGTGAAGGCTTGCATTATATTATATTGTAAGAAGTGTTATAATATAAGATCATTGAAATTAATTATAGGAGGACTCCTATCAGATCTCTCACGGTCCATCAATCGGACTTCTGGGGTACTTAATTACAAGGGCTCACATTTAACATCTTAATTCCACTGCGCGGCTCTGTGATTTGTCCTCAGTAGTCTGATTAAAGTTATTAAATTTCATTTTCAAACCCCACCAGGGGGCAACTTTTTGGTATAGTCACACCTCTATGCAATATCAAAATATATTGCACTAGTGTACCTGTTGCTCGAATTCGAACAATTGCGAAGCATTTCAGGCGACTCACGAAGATTATGGAAATACTCACGATCTACACAACAGTTAGATATAACCAAAATCTTTTGTAAATATCTAATCTTTTTTTAAAAAGCTGATCTTGTTTTTTAGTATTTTTAGTGTAAATAAAAACATTATTTCTATTTATTTTACTTGTTCGTGTTCTATGACTTTTTCTATGTTTCCATTGTTTGCAAATCGGTTATTTCAATGATTGCTCAAGAAATGTAGCACAGTGTTAATTCAGTTTTATGTTTAGCCTATATCAAATTGTCCAGGATTTCTCGCTCTTTTCCAGTGTAATAATTACACCAACCACACGATTGCGTCTACAGATGCAATATGCCAAAGAATATCACCTACTTACAATCTCCAAGAAGTGGTAAAAAAAGGCAGAAACCAACCCATACAATAGATACCTATAAGTTAACTCCATAAGAAATAATTTTAAAAGTTACTGTGATATTAGGATTTTCCACTGATTTGGTAATAGAACATTATATTGCAAAACGAACATGACACGATGCACAAGAAAATCAATTTTAAAATCAGAAAAATCCATTGCAAATACTGTACTTCATTTTGACAAATTCAATAAATCACAATTTAAATATTAACAGCTGTTGCATTAAAGAGTAGTGAGTGTAGAATTATGCATATGGTCGTAATGTAAACAAATCTGAAGAGGCAACTTTAAAGGCTTCTGGGGCAGAGCCCCAAGGGAATTTACCTCTTTCCTCTTTTGGTGGCTCATCTACAGACCAAGACCTTTCTTTAGAGACCCCTACCAAGTTTCTACGCCCAGCCGTTCTCTCAAATTAGCTGTGACAAAAACCCCGTTTTCCTCCATAAGAATAACATGGGATGGGAATTTAAAGGCCACGGGGGCAGAGCCCCAAGGGAATTCACCATGTTTCTCTTTTGATGGCTCATCTACACACCAAGACCTTTCTTTAGACACCTCTACCGAGTTTCTATGCCCAGCCGTTCTCTCAAAATAGCTGTGACAAAGAAAAACAGTTTCAAATTAATATATAGATATAGAAGTGAAGTAATGTTTTGAAGAGATGAGATGGTGATAACAAAGTAGAAGTTTTTTATTTTTCTTTACAAAAAGATTCAGCAAGAATCTTTTATTTTTCTTTACAAGTTATAGATTTAGCCTAACTGATAAAAAACTAATTTGTTTTGAAAAGTCATCAAGACTTGATGAAATATTTTTTTGTGAAAATGCAGTATTTTGTACAAGGAAAATATATTCCTAACCATCATTAACCCAAGATCTGACGCACTAGAAATTTCTGTAGGGGCGGAGTCATTATTTTTACTACCAATTAATAAGCCATATCTTATACTAGTTGTGTTTTGTTAATTTTATCTCAGGCCTGGGGGTTTCCTTTCCTGTGTAGTGTAGCCAAATCTTAAGAAGTTTGTGATGAAATTTGAGACATTTAATTGCCATAACAAATTGA